CCGTTGGTTTGACCCGGGCCGGGGGGCCCCCAAAACACCAGGGCCCCAGGCAAGGACTGGCCGCAGGGTCCAGCCTCGCGCGCCTGGGTACCCCCTGGAATTGCCCATCACGCCAGCACATAGCCGTAGTCTCGGAAGAAGAGCGCGGTGCAGCGCCCCGTGAAGTCAGCGGCGCGCATCCATTCGGCGTCGAAGTCATGCGGGTGGAGGTGGAGGTCGAGGTCCGCGTCCGGCGGAGAGGTGGGCGCATCGAGCGTTGCGGGGCGAGTTGCGCTGCGTGCAGCAGGTTGTCGATGGCGCCGCCGTTGCCGAAGTTGGGGCGGTGGCGGGCGAGGGTGAGGAGGTCTTCTGCGACGCGGAGGGCGGTGGGGGTGGGGTGCAGGTTGTGGGTGGTGAGTTTGAGGTGGAGGATTTGCGTGAGTTGGGCGGAGGTATAGGGGTAGAAGCGGAAGGCTTGGGTGAGGGGGAAGCGCCGGGCGAGGCCGGGGTTGGAGGTCTCGAAGGCTTCGGCCATGGCGTCCGGGTAGCCGATCAGGATGATGGCTTCCTTGCGGGTGGTGTTGGGGTCGATCTCGGCGACGATGGTGTCAATGACGGCGGCGCGGAAGACGTCGGAGCCGTCGGTGTTGTGCATGGTTTGGGGGAAGAGCAGGTGGAAGTCGTCGATGATGAGCACGCCGCCGCGGGCTTCTTTGAAGGCTTTTTGGGTGAGTTCTTCCGAGTGGCCGATGTAGGGGCCGATAAGGTCGGACGCGCGCTTCTCGACGACCGTGTCGTTTTCGAGGAGGCCGAGCTCTTTGAGGATCTTCCCGTACAGGCGGGCGGCGGTGGTCTTACCTGTGCCGGGGGGCATCGGCGGTTGGACCACGCGCTGAGGGCCGGTTCACCCTCGAGCTCGAGGCGGAAACTGAGTGAAGCCTCAGCGAGGAGCTCGCGGACCGACTGTTTGACGTCCTCCATGCCGATCATCTTCTCCAGCTCGGCCAAGGTGGCGCTTTGGTATCCCAGCTCAGCCGCCGTGACGCCCAAGAAGTCTGATTTGATGTAATATGCTGTGGATGCCGGCGTCGGCGCTCTGCCTGCCTTCTCGGCTTCTACTCTCTTCCTGCGCCGCTCCTTGATCCCATCCACGGACTCCCGGACTGCGTTGGGGGTTCTCAGGTCCCCGTTTTTTATGGCGCGCCGGACGAACTTTTGGGCAATCGGTCCATCCCACCCACCCTCAGCCTCCCTGTGCGAGAGTTCCTTCTTGAACTCTTTTCTGACCGTTTTGAGCAGGTCGTCCTCGGTTTGCCGCACCGGGATTGTGTGCATTGAGGGGACATCGTCCGATGACTCGAGGATGTAATCCGTGGCATTTTCAGCGGAATGTGGGATGTGGAAGAGGACAACCGGAGGCCGCGGAGCGTTTGACTTTTTGAAGCGCCTAGCTAACGTGTCCTTCAACGGTGAGAAGTTTTCGGCTTCTGGGGTATCGACGATGAAGATCTAAACCAGAACCCGTAGTGTTAGAACAACCCATCTCGTTTACAACTCCGCGATCTTTGGTCAAACGTACCCCTTTATTCCCGTCTTGTGTGGCTGCTTCCCACGTATCACCCAAGTAGTCGCCCGATTTTCCACGGCCTACTAGGTCTGCTTCGACCAGGCCCAAGGACCGCAAAAGCTTGACGTAGAGGTTCAGAACCATGGTTCTGGCTGCGAGGAAGTGTCAGCCTCGAGGCAAGCAAGGAACAGGTCATTATACCAAATGGGGAGAGGAACGGAAGCTGTTCACATACTGTTCTCGCCGCCTTCCAGGAAGCAGGTGTGCAAGTTCGTCAGGTCCCAGAGCTCGTCATCACGGCCCTGTGCCCGCTGTCTTTCGTCGTATACCCACAGGAAGTGCGCCTTCACTTCCTCGAGGCCAAACTTTAGCATGAGCTCGTCGAGCGCTTCGTTGTCCTTGCCAAACTTCTTTTTCCGAAAGGATCCACTCCTTTCCGGGAGGGGGACTTGTCCTTCATCCTTCGCAGCCGTTTTGTGATGTCCGAGTCTTCGTATGGCTCCGAGTCCGTTGGAGTATCGCCCGCTTCAGAGACATCAGGGGTCTTGTTGGCCGCTACATCGCCGTCTACGTCGACCTCGCTGTCGGCTTCAGGCGCGTCGCCGGCTTCTGAGGGCTCAGGGGTTCTGTCGACCGGTGCCTCGTTGTCCGCTTTAGGGGCATCGTCAACTGTTGCGGTGTCGTCCATCACAGAGGCATTGTCATTGTCCGGTTCGTTGCCAGTTTCGGCCTCTAGGGGCTCGGGGGGTTCATCTGCTGCCGGGACATTGTCGTCCTCAACGTGGTTGACGGTGTTGTCGCTCTCCTTGCCAGGCTCTGGGCCTTCGTCAGTTTGCGCCGACGTTGAGACATAGTTATTTGGCACTGCATCGGGGATTGAATCGATATGCTCGGACGGTTTCTGGGCGTCTTTGTTCGTGGCGTTTTGAGCTGTCTCAGAATGCTCAGCATCTGTGAGAATGCTCACATCGGTCAGGTTGCCGTCGTCAGTCGACGTCTCCCCCTCGGCGACGGGCGAATGGTCTGAAGGGGGACCCAGATCTTTGGTTGGCGGCTGTTTGCTGGCCGTGTCTGGCTTCTTGTCTGTGTCAGTGTTGGAGGTCTTCGACCCCGGGGCTTTGGTATTCGTGGTCGTCTTCTGAAAGCCCTGATTCCGAGGTTTCCAAAACTGCATCGTCAGTGGATGAGCCGGGTGATGATGACTCCGACGTGCAAGGAGTCATGGACAGAATCATCGGGGTCCGGGGAGCCTGATCCGGGTTTGCTATCGTCGCCGGGGTTTTTGTGGGAGTCGTTTTTTGGTGCCTGGGTGTCTTCCGAAGGACGGTCCGCGGTGACGTCCTGCGGTTGGTTAGGGGTTTCCTGGCGAGTTGAGTCGTCTTCTGGAGTCGTCATTGTGCTGATTGTCTGGGGTTTTGATTGGAATGGGCTGGAAGAGTGGTATGATACTGGGATGGTTCGAGGTAAAGAGACAGCTTGAATGTGCGGTTGATGAAACAGAGGAGGAAAATAATTCCACTTCCAGGCCTATTTATAACATCCACAGCATGGGAACCGGAAGCTAACGGAATCAGTCGGCTCCCTCTCCGTCGTCAATCATGATCCCACCAAAAACTCAACCCAGAGTGATTCTTGACAGAACATGGCTCTTGTGTCCTGTCGGTGCCCTAAAAACACTCTGTGTTGGTTGAGAACATGCATCATGATTGCATCAATAATATCGTGATGCATGTTCTTCGCTAGCACGAATTCAGCAGTGATTGGACTTGGATTCTCGGAGTGGTTAATTGGTGTGAATGGTTCGAGTGGTGGTTGGGGGCCAACGATCCAAGTCTTGGTTGGTACCTAGGAATTCGGGAGAAAAAGGGAGCGGCCGCTGATCGGCGTCAATCCACATGCCGTTCACAAGGCTGCAACGGCGGTAAACACGCTGAGGGTCCACGGCTGCATGGCTGCATGTCTGTCTGGTTCGTGAACATTTTGAGTGGGTTTGTCCAACATGACTAACATGACAAACAAAAGTGAAGCTGGAAGCTGGTCAGGCAGCATCCCCAATTTTCCCAATTCCCACACAAATAACTTGCCCATGCGTGTATGGCTTCCCCGGGCTCTGGCCGTGAAGTGGGGTTGGTGAGGCATCCTCTGTCGCAGTTGGCTTGTTGGTTCTCATCACCCCCAGTTTTGGACTTGGGGACGGACGCATCTGCGGGAAGGTGAAAAAAGTGGTGTGTTGATTTTCATGCTGAGGAATGCTCTGGCCGGGCGACCAAGGCGCTCTAGCCGCCTCCTACCTGGCCAGCTCAACCCGCCGCCCTCCTTAACATGCCCCTCCCTTCTCCCAGTACACTCTCTTACGGAAACAGAAGAATGAGGGAAAAAAGCGAAAAGATGTATTTCATTTCCCTATTAAACACTCACTCACCTTAGATACCCTGCTCCAAAATCCCGAGCGTTCCAATTTCACCAACCACACCTGGGATCACCCATCTCTTGGTGCCCGAATCATAATTTGATTTCTGAGATCAGTTCCAGTTTAGCGCGCCCATAGCGCGAGGGCATTGGCGCTAAACCAAGAAACCGGCGAGAATGCCACCAAGGACGCCTCCAATACGGGCTTCTATATGGCCGCCGGCCGCACCGGTGGAGATGCTGGAACTAGCCTCCGTCGTTGTCGGCGCCGTGGTGGCCTCCGGAGCGGTGGTCTCCGGGGGCGGTGGTAGTTTCCTCGGAGGAGGCAGTACCCTCGACCGTCGCCCGGGGTGTGACCGTGGGCCAGGGATAGTCGATCGTGGTGGAAGTAATGGTCTGAGTGGAGCCATCAACAACCGTCGTCGACGTCCTGACCACCTCAAACACCCGCTGCGTCTGCGTCAAGATGCACTGTGAGACGTTGTCGGGGTCGCAGCCATAGGCGTTATAGCAGCAGTTGCCTGCGGTACCATGTTAGTCTCATAGTCTACCCAAGCTGTTCTTCTTAAAAAGGAGGCCTAGCTCGAGGGAAGAGAAGAGTAAGGTTCGTACCGCCGAGTGACTGGGGGCAGAGGTGGTGAGCGGGGACGCCCGGGCACGCCGTTGTGGTCGGCCGAGCAGACATGGTCGAGGTCCCGGTGTACGAACACTCGGTGGCGAAACATTCCCAGCCTGTGGGACAGCATCCGTAATCGGTCCGTGTTCCGTCAAGACACGACGAGTAGCCCTGCAAGCCACACGCCGACTGCGCTTGGGCGGCGGGGATTAACGACAGCAGGGCGACGAGCGCCACACCGTACGCATGTCCGGGGTTCTGAGGTGACATGATTGATTTCAAGGTTGAGTATCCTTGCTTGATGGAAAGGGAGGTTAAAAAGTATCGAAACTTTTGGGGAATCATCAGCTTACATATACTACAGCCTACACGCGGACCTCGGATGAAACCTAAATTGGCAAGATATGCCTCACATTCTGGTCAAAGGGGGCTTAGACAGTAGTTCAAGATGTTTTCACTGAGTAGGTATTTAACCCATTGCGTATGTTGTGCAGGCTCTTTGCCGAGCTAGGCTGTGCCAAAACCTCGGTACCTCTACCAATTAAAAGTCTTGTTGTGGTGGTGTTGAGCCACGACAAAAGGCTTGCAGGAAGTTGGGGGCGACGTTGGCTTGGTAACAATGGTAGGTTACCTTTGCAGAGTCGAAAGCTCGTCGATTAACAGATCCTGACTGGGGTTAAACATTCCTTCAGGGGCTATGTTCCTTGCCAAGAAGAGCACACGGTCTCTGCACCGTCATCTGGCCCGAGTGCATTGGGCGTCGTCTCCCGGATCATGAACATCCGCACAGAGCTGGCAGCTTGGACGGGCAGTGCTATTCACCCACGATAATGTCGCCGGGCGGAGTCTATCAGATGTCCATCTCACTCTTCTTCACGGCGACGGCGTGGAAGACATCAGTCGGCAGTCCTCAAAATCTCCTCTTGGCGTCGTCTGCCGCCTATTCCTTGTAGAGCTTCATATCACCAGGACACGCTGCCTTGTCACTTCAATGTTGCCCCAAGCCATCGGAGGCCTCAATGGATATAAACGAAGTACTTTAGGGTGGGCGATAGCTTCTGTTGGATTTGGAAGGCGGTTAGGAGGGGCAATTCAGGGGTAACTAATTAGTGGCTGGGCATGAGTATTTTCAGGATCAGGGCGAGGCCCGCGGCAGTGGGAACAAGACAGAGACAGAGATACAGAAATCATCATCAATGGACTGGTTGCCCCTCTTTCGTCACCTTTTGGCACCCAATCACCTTGGTACAGTTAATTCGCAGCTGTTGGCTTTCCAACAGCTTCGGTCCCGGTCGAATGTTACAAAGAGGGTGGCGATGCAATTGGGAAACTCTGGTTGGACAGGACTGAATTCAGGCATGGCTGCATTTTTAAACACTCGACCCTCTCCCGGGAGTCCCAGCATGTCCTGAAGAGCGTGTGTTGTCGTCGTGGTCGTCGTCGTTCTCACATGCTGTCTATTTCCGGAATATGCCCGCTGCCTCTTGTCAAACTGTTGACATTAATCAGGGGGTGGTATCGCGGGTTGAATGTTCAATCACATTGTTAACACCTAAGTACCTATTGTTTGTTCATTGGCCAAGTCCCTTGAGTGCCGTTTTCTTCCCAGCGGCCTTCCATGGCGTAATGGACCAGCAGGAATAACTTAGCTACCTACCTCGGGTAGCCCCTTGGCTTTCCCGTTTTTTTCTCATTTTTCTCCTGCTTTTGCTTGTTGAGTTCTCTTGTTCAAGAGGTAGAAAGGGGATAGCATCCCTACCCCCTTTCCATCCGAAAGTTAGTGTACATACACACTAACGATGGGGAGCGGGAGGCGCAATGAAGAGAACAACGCTCCAACTGAAGGGCATCCTTCACCCCTTTTCAGTCCGAAGCAGAGAAAGAAGATTCGGTTGACAGCACAAGGTGTAGTTAATTGCGATAGCACTCTTGCGACACCTCACTTCTTAAAGAGGCTGGTTCGTATTATCAGCGAAGGATTTAGCCGTTAGGTAGTAGCGTTATGTACGGATCTGATTAGTAGCGAAGCAAGCCAGGGTGTGAGATCCCCGCAGTCCTTTAGGATCTAATTCCCGGGCATCCGGGTTCTCTTAAAATCTAAAGCCTATTAACCATGAAGTCGGAAAGCTCATAAGAGATCAGAAACCCATATGTTCGTCAGAATAGAAACTCCAATGCTCCTCTCCTACCTAACCCTACTACCGGGGGTGTTGGCAGGTTGCCAAACCGCCCCTGTAGCAACCACCCTCAACGGCACCTACACAGGCCGCTACCTCGCCGAATTCGCCCAGGACCTCTTCCTAGGTATCCCCTTTGCCCAAGCCGGGCGGTTAGAAAACCCAACCCCCCTCAATGAGTCATGGGAAGGCACGCGCTCGGCCGAGTGGTACGGCAACATCTGCCCGGTCCCGGCGTCGGAGCGTAGCGTGCGCAACGCCAACGTGACGGGGAAGTCAGACGACTGTCTCAACCTCAACATCATCCGCCCCTCGCGGGCCTCCCTCAAGAACAAGGATCAAAAGCTGCCCGTGGCGGTGTGGCTGTACGGGGGTGCTTTCACCGACGGCTTCGGCGCCGACCTCAACTCCAACTACTCGTGGGTAGTGCAGGCGAGCGTGGCAAAGGACATGCCCATCATGGCCGTGACGCTCAACTACCGCGTCGGCTTCTTCGGTTTCCCTGGGGGCGAGGAGATCGCCGCCGCCGGGCTAACCAACCTCGGCCTGAAAGACCAGCGGCAGGCGCTGCGGTGGGTGCGCGAGAACATTGCTGCGTTCGGCGGGGACCCGGACAAGATCACCGTCTGGGGCCAATCCGCCGGCGGCAACTCCATCATATACCAGCTGCTGGCATACAACGGCCAGGCCCACGACAACCTCTTCCGCGCCGCCATCATGAGCAGCGGCTCCATCGGCATCGGCAACACCCTCCGCCCCGACCGCGAGGACGCCATCCAAGGCTACCGCCGCATCCTCAACGAAACCGGCTGTTTCAACGCCACCGACACCATCGCCTGCCTGCGCGAAGCCCCCCTCGACGTCGTCTACAACGCAGCGGCCTCCACCCCCACCCAACCAACCTGGTGGCCTACCATCGACGGCGAGTTCCTCACGCACCCTCCCTCCCTCCAACTCGCCGCGGGCAACTTCCCCCACAACATCACCCTACTCCTCGGCACCAACGACGACGAAGGCTTCGCGCTCTCCAACCTCCTCGGCGCAGCCACCGAAACCGAGCCCGAACTGCTCACCCTCCTCCAAACCATCTTCCCGCACGCCCACCCCACCACCCTCACCACCCTCCTGACCACCTACCCCTCCACCGCCCCCGCCCCCCCCTACGCCCTCCCGCTCACCTCCACCCCCGAGTTCTGCGCCGCCGTCCACGCCACCAACTCCCCCTGCGGCGCGCAATACCGCCGGCTGTCCTCCATCCTCGGCGACTTCGCACTGATCCACGGCCGGCGGGACGTGGCCACCGCATGGGCGGCCGCCGGCCAGACGGCGTACACGTGGCGGTTCAGCACGTGGCCGACGTCGTTTCCGATCGACACGGCGCTGGAGAGCCGGCCGGGGTTCGCGGGCCACGGGGCGGAGTACGCGTATTTTTTTCGGTTTCCGAGGGAGTATGAGCTGTATGGGAATAACCCGCGCGTGGCGGAGGGGGAGGCGCATCGGCGGCTGATGGAGCTGGTGTCGACAAGGGTGATTGCGTTTGTGTATGGGGGGGATCCGAATTTGGTGGACGGTGAGTTGAGAGGTGTTTCTTTTTTGGGTTGGGGATGGGTTTTAAGGTGAACATAGGGGCTGACAATGCTGTGATAGATCCCGACGTACCGGCTTGGCCAAAGTATACGGTCGAAAACCCGTCCAACTTGGTTCTGAACGCCACCGCGGTCCCTGATAAGTTGAATGTCCATGTCGAGCCCGACACTTGGCGTCAGGAAGGTATGGCTTTGTGGGCCAAGTATCCCCTTGAACTGGATATCTTCATTGGTTGATCGACGAGGGCTGGGATCAAGTAGACCTGAGTGGCACAGTCCCGGCCTGAAACGGGGACCTTGATACCGACTCTCTGCGCAAGCGGGAAGAAAAGTGCATTGTAATTACGAAAATATAACAGAAATGAGCCGTTGCCAAACGCCGTGTGGAGGATCTCTACCTCAAAACAGATGCAGCCAACCGGTCTATGCCAGAAATGCCCCTAATGCAATCCGCTGACGCCCGTCACCGCCATGTACTTTTGGCACTCAATCAAATGCTTAACCTGCTCCCCAACCTCGCCCAAACGCCCCAAAACCTTGCTGTTCCCATCAACAAACCCTAGAAGGGTGTACGGAATGTTGGTGCTCTCACAAAACTCCCTCACCAGCACCTGCAGCCTGCGCAGGTTGTGCCGAGGGACCCGGGGAAACAAATGGTGTACGGCCTGAAACTGCAGGCCGCCGTGAATGAAGTCCAACCACGCCGGGCAGTCGACGTCCATGGTAGTGCGCAACTGGCGTTGGGCAAACGACTCGGATTCGCCGACATCGGCGGTCGACATGCCCCAGTGGGACAGGGTAATCTGCACATGCAGCGGCATGGTGATGATGTGGGAGATGAGCACGTAGACGACGCGCATGGTCCAGGTCGGCAAGGTGCACCAGAGCAACAGGTAGCCGAAGATGTACCAGTAGCATGACATCATGGCGATCTCGGCCGGGCGAATCCACCACGCCTTGCTGCTCCCGAGCGAGGCCGACTTGGCCGAGAGCACATGTAGCCACGAAAGAAGGTAGAGGTTGAAGCGGGCGATACCCATCACAGGGTAATACGTGTACTTCTGGTAAGGCACCATGAAGTCCGCGACAGCGTCCCAGGCGAAAGTGAAGTCGTAGTAGCTGGAGCGGATGCCACGGAAAAAGGAAGGAGAGGTAGCGAATAGGGGCACGTTTTGGATGTCGGGGTCGTGTTCCTGTTTGGGCGGTTAACGATTATTTCCGGAGCAGGGCCCCCATGCTTGAAGATAGGTACTCACAGGGTGGTTGGTAACGAGATGGTGGACGTTGTGGCTGCTCTTCCACCAGCCGATGGACAAGCCGCAGCAGAAGTCGGCGACGAACATGGCGATCAGGCTGTCGACCTCGAACTTGCCGGTGATGGCGCCGTGCGCGGCGTCGTGGGCGGTGAACATGATCTGGTGCCAGAACAGCCCCAGGAAGAAGGCTGACGTCACGTACCAGCCGTAACGCAGGGCGACTATGGAGGCCGTGAAGAGGATCGTGTAGCGGGCCATCTCCTTGCCGTAGGCGATGTAAGGGCAATTGTAGAAACCCTCATCATGGACTCTCTGGTGCAGCGCTCTGTACTTCCGGGCGATACCTTCTTGTACCTCGGGGTCCAGTGACGGATAGTCGGTCAGGTCCTGCTTGATCTCTTGCTTCTCGACCCAGTCCGTGTAAGCAGCGGCATCCCCCGCAAAGACCTTCTTGCCGGCAGACGCAGGGTCATCGGAAACCCGCCAAACGTATTGAGGCTCCTGCACCGAGTCGACCGAGTCTACGTTCGAGGTGTCGGGTGTCGCAGTCGCAGAGGGTGGGGTCGTGGCCTCTTTTTGGTAAAGGCCACCCCGGATCGGCGGCGTCTTGTTGGTCCAGATTCCAGGTGGTTTCCGGCCTATCCGAAAAGCCTTCATGGTCTTCCACGTGGCTGGGATATGGTACCTGCATGAATATGATTATGTCAGAAGCTTAAAACTTAATTGTTAACTATCGAGTTTAAAACAGCTGACTTACGCCTTGATCTCGTCCGTCGCATCTTTCCCGACCATGTGCAGGATTGCCAGGCGACCGCCAGGATGCTTCTCGAGCCATGAGTCCAACTTGAGGACAAAGTCTTCGAAAATGACAATCACATGTCCGTCTGCAATCAAACCCTCGACCGCTGCGGCGGTTAATACTTGGTCGCGCTTCATAGTCATGATGGCGCGTGGAAGGGAAGGTGGTCGGCCGCGGAGAATGTGGTACGCAGGTGTAACAGGAAAGAGGGACGGCCGAACAAGAAGGGGGAGGGAGCGAGACGGGGTCGGGACATGAAGAATCATCCAACGGCAGGACCAACAAGCAAGCAAGTGGGCCAACAAAAGGGAGTGACCGAGGACGAAGCAGGTAGGTACCCCCGAGACCAAGCAGGACCAAGGAGGACCAAGCAAAGACCAAGCCCAGGAAGGGACATTTCGTGTGCCGCCAGCATCGTTAGCGGGGTTTTTTTGCCAACCGACAGCTGCGATGGAAACGAGCCCACAACGGCCAACAAAGGGGTTGGAAGGGGAGAATCCATCAGCCCATCTCCTCCTTTTGCGCCAAGCGACGAGATGCCAATCTCTCGGTGGACTTGGCCATTGACTTGGCGCAGACGCGTGCGAGCAGGATTGCGGCCGACGGAAAGTGGGAGCAGCCTGAAATGCTGAAATGCGAGCTTGTGCGCATTCGTACTGGTCGTACAACGGCTCTGAACGAGTGAACACGCACAAGAAGGTCGGGCGGAGTGTTGGCAAGCGTGGTGGCGTTGTGGAACGAATTCTATCCCAACCAAAACGGCCAAATCACATTGGCCCAGAAGCATAAACTTTCCACCTTTCCCACGCCCCATACCGCTTTCCAGAACGAGCGGGCGGGTTATACGTGTAAAACAGGGGAATGAAACCTTCTCCACGAAGAAACCCTGCAGATCTTGGGGGCTGAGTCCCAATTTGGGGACGCGGCCCAATTTTCCATTAGCGTGGGGCACGTGCGGAGCCAACCAACCGTGTTTCTTCCCACGCTCGGTGCGGAAGGTTCCATGCAAGCGGGGAGCAAAACTCAGGGTCCGGCGCCGAGGCCTGGGTTTTGGGTCTTGGTCCCTGCAGGCCCTGATGGATTTCCAGCCAATCTCTGCCGCATCAAGTGGTGAGTTGCCGCACAAAATCAAGATCAGTCCGAGAGTGGTGGAGCGAATTGCGAGCGGTGAGGGTGGGAAGTTGGGAGTTGTTATTGAAACAGGGGCTCACGCAGAGCAGACCCCATGAATGACGTTTTTATTCGAGCAGCTTTTTCCACCGTTGCTGTCTCAACTTGCAACATGCAACATGCAATCAAGCATACAATGCGAGACAAGTAACGACTCGGACCAGACATGCGCTCTTTCTTGCGTGTGCCTACTTCGTAACTCTATCTCCCGCGCCAGCCACACCGTCAGGTTCATCTCGTCCCTCCCCACGTGCACCTCCTTCCGCAGTTCCACTCCCACCTCCTGGACGCCGCCACTCGAATACGTCCACATCCAACCTTGGCGCCGCATCTTCGTCGGACCCAATCCCCTGTCCCCCGCTGCCCTTGTTTCCTCCGATGCTGTGGTCGTTCCCGTTCCCGCTTACGCCCCGTATTTCGTCAAGTCTCGCCCGGATTTCAGCGATGGTCCTCTGCTGGTTCTCTCGACGTTCTCGGGTTTGGTTAATTCTCTCGTGGGCTTCAGCGAGAGCCACCTTCCGTTGCCGCTCCACGCGCCAGTCTTCCCATTTAAACCACAGTCGAAGCCCCAAAAAAATCAATATAGCCCCACCTATGCCCGAACAGAACGAAACCGCGTACAAAGCCCCTCCTTTCAGCCCGCCTCCTCCTGCGCCCTCCGGCAGCGGCGATGGTGTTTCGGTACTAGTTGCGGTCGAGCTGGGCGGGGAGGTCGGGGACGTTGCCGAGGGTGTCGATGACGTGGGGGGATCTGTGTCCACCCCGAAGGTCTGTGGTCCTTTGCTCCGCTCGTCTCTGAGAACGCGAAACGACGCGCTGCTCTTGCTGATGGTGCCGTCTGGGCCCGCTCGGAGGTCGAACCAGCAGCGCTCGTCGGATACGAAGTTGAGGAGTATTGATATACTGTCGCTGGGCCCCGGCACTGTTTGCCAGTGGACTGGCGCGTCGTTAGCATGCTGCCTCCCGTTGGGGTTGGCGGGATTCTGGGGCGACTCACTCAACGTTGCGTGGTCTGGGTCGCAGAAGGTAGACAATTCTGCCGTGTCGTGAAATACGGTGTAGTTCACTATCACCGTGTCCATTCTATGGAAAGTGTACTTGGACCCATCCGGTGGGTACATGAATACGGGTTCCTGCGCCGTGTCCTGGCACGCGACACCCGCCACGAGAAGGGCGGCTGCCAGGAGAGATGTTTGCATGCTCATGACCATGGTCGTCGAGCTCGGATGTTCGCTTGGAGATGCTGGTGCAGAAGCCCCTTTCCAACGGCCGGAGTGAAACTCATTTTTAAACTTAACGCGGCGAGAGGTTTGTGACACATTTTGACTATTTTGAGGAAGAAGGCTCCAACGAGATGGGAGGGCATCGACCGAACGACTGTCGTCGGCGCAAAAACAGGCCGAACTGACTGAAACGAGGCAGAGGATCCCCGCGCGCAAGGCGACCTTGTGTGGCTGATCCTCCCTCCCTGAACCCACGTGCATCAGCGCTCAAAGTTTGTGGCACGAGCCCCATGGGGCCGCCAAAATGGGAACGGGCTGTGGCTCGCAGAGCCAACCATTTTAGGGGTTTCAAGCCACGGCGGTGTGTTCTTGCCGAGCCTCTGGCCAAAAATAAAAGAGTCAAAGAGGAGCATGAAAGAAGTAAAGAAAGCCGAAGCCAAATAGAAAAAGAGAAGAAAAAAAAGAAGCAAGAACGAAGAAAGAAATGTAAAGAAAATGGAGTAAAATATATTAAATAAAAGAAAGTAACTAGTTAGGTTAAAGAAAAGATAAGTTAACTAAGTTTCTCTTTCGTTCCTCTAATCGAACGTCTTGACGGCACCTTGCGCTTGGAGTTCGGTGTTTCTGGCCAGCGACCGAGGCACAGCCACTCACCTATAAAACTCGGGCAGCCTCTTGAGCAGTTTGAGTCACTGAACGAGGTTCTGGCGTAGCAGCCCACTTGGTGGCTGAGTACTCTACGAACCACAACTGACACCAAGAAGCGGTGCGAGAGACGACGAAGGCTCTCCACGAGGTCAAGTTGCATGAGTCAACCTCTAGGAGGTCACACACCGATACCATGGAAATGAGAAGGGTAGGTTGCTCATCAGGAAGTTCCTACAGCAACATATTTTCTCTATGTCCTCTAAACCGTACAATCAGATGAAGCTAAGCAAATGCCAGTGATGAATCCGACAAAATCCGACAACTATGTCATCACCTCTCTCAGATCCTTCACTCTTCAACCTCCACCTTCATATCCGTGGTATCCGCCATGGCGGTGTCACCATCCACATCCTCCGTCTTGACGTCAACATCCTCGAAATCCCTCTCTCTCAAAATCTCTCCCGCCAAAATCCTCCCCATGTGTGTCTTCTCAATATCAAGACAATCCCTCCGGATCCGCTTGAACAACACATTGAGAAACCCCACCGGACTGGACTCAAACCCACACTCTTCATACCCCTCCCCACCAGCCCGGCCCACGAACCCATCCGCTGCAATATCCTCATCTCCCTCATTCTCTGTGTAAGACAAGCCCAAATACCGACACAACCGCACATACTCAGCGTACGACCGCAGGTACAGCTGCCCCGCAAACAGGTTCAGCTGCATGACGAGCTCGGGCGGCGGCACGGGCGGGTCCTCAACCGCCGGCACCGTGTGCACGGCCAGGTCCTCGAGCGAGTCGAACGACAGACTCGAGCGCGGCAGATACGCGCGCAGGAGCACCCTGCCGCCAGCCTCCTCCCGACTCTTCCTCTCCAGCACCTCCTTCAGCACATTCGCCTCCCACGAACTCACCAACACCATCCGCATCCCCTCACCACCACCCGAGGCATCCGCCTGCACCTGCACCGTCACAACCCACTGCGCCGGCCTCTGATACGCATCCCCCTCCCCTCCCCTCCCACCACCACCACTACCACCCGCAACACCCAACACGGTCCTCGCAAAGTCCCCCGTGACCAACAACCCACCCGGAAACCCCCCTCCCCCACCTGGAGCCACCCCACGCGCCCCACAAGCCACCGACGGGACCAAGGCGGCCGCGCTCGTCCCCGCCAGCGCCGCAAACGCGGACATGAACGCGGGGCTGCGCGCGTTGAGCACGCCGTGGGCGGCCAGGCGTTGCACGTCCTCGTGCAGGGCGTGCGGGGCCGGGCGGCGCGGCGCGGGGCGCTCGACGTGGCGCTCGCGTTCGATTTCGGGGGCTAGTTCGCGCTCCTGTTCTTCTTGGAGAGTGCTGGAGGCGGGGTGGGTGGTCAGGGCGAATTGGGTGCATTTGGTGTGGAGGAGGGTGAGGTGGGGGTGGCGGGAGGGGGGGAGGGTGGTGGTGAGGTGGTGGAGGGTGGTGAGGAGGGATTGGGGTGGGGATTGGTTGAGGGTATTGGGGGTGGTGGTTGAGATGGGCCGGTATCGCTGCTCGAGGGATTGCGCTTCGGCTTCGAGGTAGCGGGCGACGTCGGCAGCTGAGAGCGAGCCGCCGTTGTTGGCGTCGGCTTCTTCCCAAACTACCTCTTGGTGCTGGTGGCGGATGCCCTGGGTAGCCCATAGTGGGAGACTGCGGTGCGCGTCCTCCCAGGTCTCGGCGATGGCGCAGATCAGGATGTCGGTCACCGTGAGGGCGTGGGCGTCGTCCTCCAGCTTAACCAGCGTCCGGATGCGCTTTTGCATTTCAGGGGAGACGCAGAAGGTGACGGACTGGCCTTGGCCGAGTTTTCGCATCCGCATGCACGCTAAAAAAATGTTAGGAGCGGAACGCAATTACAGGTGAGGGGGGAGGGGGGCAGCGGGTCAGCGTCGGCCGTACGTGCCTTGAACGAGTGTGTCCTTCGTCACCCCTGGTCCCAGTGTGACTGCAGCACGATACGAATCCGGCAGCTTCAAGTCCGTACCACGGGTATGGGCCTGGTCTAGGAAGACAAGACACCGATCCGTCTGTGTGGCGAACGGCGATGTGAGGAACGAGTCGACGGTACCATTACGAGTCAAGACGGACAGCTCATCGTGGTCGTTGAAGAAGATCACCGCATCCGCCTCGTGAGAAGGGACCATGCCGAGCCAACGGCGCGCCACCTCGAGATTGCTAAGCTCGATGATCTGCGCCCCGACGTCCAGGATCACTCGCATCGGCTGGCTTGAAGTCGTGACCGCATCAAGCAGTAAATCCACTGTCAAGGCCGTCACGTTTGCCGCATCGACCCCAAGCTCCAACACAGTGTTCTCTGCCCGGAGAAGGCAAGCCAAAACAGCCGAGTTGGTGTGTCGTTGCTCAGGGAGGTCAAGTGCCGTCACCGAAAGCGGAAGCACATATTTTGAGTCCGTGGTGCCGCTGAATCCAGTCAGTGGATGGCGCTTCGTCTTGCCGAGATCCCATCCCGAGGCGGACAGCTTGTAGGGAAACTCCCGCATCTCCTTGGGGAACACGACGTTGGCGAGGTAAAAGTCTATGGCCGGCTTTGCGTACCGCAGGGCAGGAAACACACTCTCCTTACAGAGTTTAGTGTCCTTGAGATTGACGCCCGAGAAATGAGCCAAGGATGATGGTAGTTGCGGCGCCGCCGCTGCCCAGCGGCTGTACTCCTGCTCTGCCTGGTCCGACCGGCTCAGCCTTTCGAGACAGGTGCGCAGTTCGTTGTCGGCGAGGCCTTGGTAATAGTAGCTGAGACACGTCAGAACAATGACGACCTCCGGATGGCTGAACTCGGAACGCGGCGCCGGCGAGTCCTTGGCGCGGTAGGGCACAGCCAGCATGGTTGAAGGCCGTCGATCGGGGGCGAGGCCGTAGTTGACTCGAAACCGCTTCTGGCCAAGTGCGAACAAGATGACATTGGTGGCCAGCAGACCCCGGAGTAAAAGAAGTGCGTTCTTTGATGTCGGCTCGCTGAAGAGACCGCTGCTTACGTCCTCGACTGCTGTGACCTGCTCGATGTCGAGAGTTGGATGGAGGATGTACTCCAATACCGCGCGGCGCATCTGTTTGGACTGGTGCTGGATGGGGAAACCCCTGACCCCCGTCCGACAGATCTGTTTGGCGATAGCGTCAACCAGACATTTGCCAGCCGATTCCTCCAAGACCCGAATTGTTGGGTACCGGCCGCTGGCCTCGTTTTCCTCGAACAATAGGCCTTCGACCCTCTGCCCCTCGGCACCGTTCGCCAAGTTTCTAGCAATCTCAGCCAAAACGTCCATCAGTTCCTGAATCATGGTCCAGCGGTCCGGGCTCATATCGATGGGCTGCTGAGAGCCAATGGTGTAAATCAGCTCAAACTTGACGCTGAAGTTCTCGTCGCTCTCGTCGACAATGTCCCTCGACATGTCCTCAAGCTCGCGGTAAGTGCTGAGAATATCCCTGCCGAGCTGCCCAGTGCCAGCATAAATGCTCTCCAAGCCCATGAGCTTGAACGACAACAGGTGCTCCGGCTGCACGAGCAGCACCCCGCGTTCCTTTCTGCACGCCTCAAGGATCCGCCGCACGGCTGCGACATCCTCGCTCCTCAGCTGAAGCGCTCTTGAGATGGGGAGGTAGAAGACGCGCCGGTTGATCAGCCCGCCCATGGTACCGATCAGGGTGTGCATCATCTGCTTCGACTGCGGCTTTGCAACCACAACCCGGACGAGACGATTCCCATCGGCAAGCCAAGTAGACACGACTGGCACAATGACCGAGGACTTGCCCTCTCCCATGTTGAGCTGCATGACGGCGTTGTCTCCCTCCGGGGGATTCCGCATCTTGGCTGCTATCCCCTGTTGGATGGGACGGATGAGGATCCCTTGCTCCAGCTCGATGATGAGGTTCTCGGGGAACTTCATGGGGTCGCCCTCCTCAGAGTTGTGGCTTCCCATGTTGCGGAGCTCCTTAAGGAGATCCACCTGCCTCTCCGGGCGTCTGCTGGCATTGACGAGGCGCTCGGCTCGCTGCACGTAGGCAAGTGACAGGGCGTAGTTGACCAAGCAAACCCGCCAGCTCTCAGGCAAGTCGTCCCAAAAGTCTCGGCTGAGACGCTGGAGTAAGAAGACGGGTGAGATGCGGGGGTAGAGGCTGCTTCCCTGGCATGTAGCCTCGGCGATAGACTGTCCGCGGAGGGCGTTGTCGATTTTGCCGCGTATTGTTTCCGCTGCCTGTTTGCAACCGAGAAGGTAGTCCCGGAAGATCCTCTCCAACTCAACTGCCCCCTGGTTCAGTCTGTAGCGGGCGCTGGCCGTGCTGACGGCGCTGGATTGGAGTTCATCGATGTAGGCGACCTGGTAAGGCTTCTGGCCACTGATCCGTGCGAGCTGGTCGAACAAACCGGCCAAAGGTTCCTCTTCGCCAGCCGCTAGCGTGACATGGTCACAAAGGTAGGAAAAGTCCACCGGCTGAGGACGCTCTGTGGGAGGGGCTGGCCTAGTGAACAGTGCGCTCGACTGGACAAAGCCTACCAGGGAGGGTAGTTGTTCTATCTTTGGCGGGGCAACAGGGCCGTTCAACGCCACGAAAGCATTTCCTGCTGAACACACGCCCATCTGACCTAACTCCCGTAAAAGGGAGTTTAAGTACTCCGTAAAAAGGCTTGTGCGTCTAGCAAGGTCCAGAGCTTTATTGACTTCTTGCAGAATGGCGTTGACGTTCATGTATGCGGAGTAGTTCTCTCCGGTGGGCATCGAAACCGTCCAACGAGAACTCCACTGGTCTTCAAGGTTGGACACAAAGCTTCTAGTCAACTGGTCCGTCTTGGTTGACCATGCTTCATGGCGCCTCCTTTTTGCCGCCGTCTTGGTTTCGTCAGACATGCGGGGAAGCTCGGATTCGGGGCACCGATTCAACTCATATAGACGTCGGCAAACTATTTGCTCCACTCTCTGTTTCATGGTAGAGATTTTGTAGTCGAGATCAAAATTGTCCTCTTTGGGCGGCTTGACTTGAGACCGGAACCTCACATGGGCAGTCGCTATCCCTAGCAATGCCTGCACAAGGTCCCAGCTCCCTTGTTGTGCAAAGATCAGCGCTGAGAGGAAGAAGGCGACTTTGTACACGTTGGGCTCGTCTGCAACGGATTGGTGTAGCCCACACCAAATCCCCTTGAGAGACGTGGTGTGAGACTGGAGGTGGTCGAGCGAAAAGGTGATGTCAACTTCAGGGGCACCAGGGAACTGCTTTCCGGCAATGTCTAGAATAACTTGGCGCAACGAACCCGATGGCCGGGCCAGGAGTCGCTCGCTGCCGGAAACAACACGTCTCGCCACTGCACTAGCTCTTGTGAAAGTCTCGGAAGAATTTTCGCCATGTCGGCCAGAGTATTGACAGTCGAAGGCGGCAGTGTGTTTCTCTGCTCCAAAGTCAGAGACCCTGAAGGCTGCATTTCTATTTCTGGCCCGCGAGACCAGCAGAAGATCAGAGCGTTTCAGCGAGCTGAGGTCGAGTGAAGTGCTTTTTTCATCACGCTGCAAAATCTCGCAGTCCCGGGCATGGTTGAGGATGGCCTCGACCTCTGGCCAGAAGGCGTCGTGCTGAGATAGTACAGGGAGCTTATTCGACCACTGCACCTGTTCCATGACCATCATACCGCTGGGGTAGAACTGCCTCTGGGGGGATAGTTCCGCTATACCGCACAGCAGTTGGTAGGACTCCGCGTCCAACCGTTGGAAAGAGCGAACTGATGCAGACTCAAGAATTCTCAAGGCTTCCTCGGTCCCGGTTCTCCCCGTGAGAGGGTCCGGGAGACAGTGGGATGTGACCGCGTGGAGATAGCACAAGTATAATTTGCTGGACAGCGATCCGCTTGTCGTGATGCGGCCGAGTCTCGCATCAATCATGAACGCGTCATGTTTGACATGGGCTCCGGCAAAGAAGTCGACGCTGACTTTGACGTGATGGGATACAATCCTTGGCGAAATCGGCCCTCTCGGCACAAGAACCGTTCTCTGGGGTGTACAAGATTCCAAAACGCCTTCCTGCTTCAAAACCAGCCTGTTTTCGAGGCCGACCAGCGCCCCGATGCTCTGAGATTGGTCGATACACATACCGGAGTAGTGCTTCGACTTAATACTTGAGTTGCCTTCGGCAAGAGTGAAGGAGAGCGAGTATCTCGGTAGATCCACGACCAGCATGTGTTTAGATGGGTGGAAGATCGTATTTATGTTTCCCCTCGTTTCGATGGGGTTCAGATGGGACAAAATTGCTTCCGCAGTTTGACTGTGGGGGTCAATCACGTAGCAACCTTGCCGCGAGAGGGTGTTGCGGCTTCTAGTCCGCGTCAAGATCCAGTTGTCGTTGTCCGGGGAAGACACCCAAGGCTTATCCGCGCGTCGAAACTCGACAACCCCGGTGGAAAGATTTACCCAGTGCGAGTAGTCGCTGATAAAAGATGTGGGGACGTCACCGTCCAGTTTCCAAGAAGGTATAAACTCATAGATCTCCGTGCGTGACTTTTCTTCAACGGAAAGCGCCTCCGTAGATCGAGCTGCCTGGATGACAAGCTCGCCCGAGACCATAGTGAAGTGCACCACCCAGCCCTGCTGGCTGCGGCATGCAGAGAATCGCATCCCCTTTCGAGTTGAGGGCATGACTTCCAGAATCTGTGACCCAAAAAGCTCTTCGCAGGCTGGCTTGCATTCGTACTCAGAAGGTAAACGAGACAAGGGATATCCGTTGACCAAGAGGCGGCCGTTCAGAAGATTGTACGTGATGGTCATGGTATTGCCGTTCTCCAGGTTTGTTCGAGCAAATAGGATGTGGCTCTGTTCGCCCGAAAGTTCGAACCACTGTGTGTCGGGCGGCGAGTAATCCGCCCAAAACTGCTGAATGGCTGCATGGAAGCCGGGATTCTTTTCCTTAATAATTTCATCCAAGGCAGAGTCCAGCGCCAAATGCATAGTTCTGCGCCATCGATGTGCCAGCAGAACCAAAATGGGATTTGAGAGGGACGCGTTAGGTGGGAGATGGTCGTGGATCACGGTGGCCGTTTCCACAAAGACATTGAGGTTGTCTGCCGAGTGCAAAAGGTCTTGTAGAAGATCCGACTCGACGTCAAACGTAGACATGCATGTAAGTGCCACCATCAACAACCGCTGATCCAACTCGTGTCGTTCAACCTTGTTGTTGCAGTCGCCCTGCTTCTCCAGGAGTTGCCTGGCCCACTGAAGCGCCACTCTCCTGGTCTGACATAGGAACGCCAAGAGGGCATCAATAAGCCGGCGGGACGTGGTGAGTGCCAGAACCCGCGTTCCAAGACATGCCAGGAGGCTCACAGCAATGTCGTTTTGCCAGTTTTCACGGAACCTGCCAAGAGCATTCCCCAGGGCGGCCGTCATGCGGCGCACGAAGTTGTCATCAAGCAAGTCTGCGTGCGTTTCCCGGAGGATTGAGCCACTGGCGTCAAAGGGCCCTGCCTCAAGGCACGCCTGCAAGACAAGCCAGTACGTTGATTTTTGGTTCCAATCCAAGGAGGGAGCAATGAGTTGGCAAAGAACGTTGGCCCACTGCAGACGAAAGTCCGATCGAACATGGCCGAATGCCCGGAACTCTTCCAGAGACATGGCCAGCGGACACCCGGACTGGGAGGAAATGACTTTGTTTGATGCATGCCCGGTCTCCCGTGTCCAAGGGGCGAGATGAGGCCCGGATTGGTGTTCTGCAAACGAACACTTCGTAGGCACATGTAGTTCTTTGCATAGCTCATGGTGAACGACCTGTGAGGTGGATTCGTAATAATCGTAGCCGTTCCAAGGAGGACGTACGGAAACATCGGAATCGCCGCAGAAAGTGCTGATATGCCTGCCGCGGTAATGGGATGCCTCCACGGGCTTGATGGTGGCAGCTAGCTGGACCTGGCTTGTGACGGGGTAAAATTTGCTCAAGCTTGAATGATCTGCCGCAAACCAAAGCTGGTCTACCCCTCGCAAGGTCCCGGGGTCTCGAAAGATGTCACGGAAGAAGTGGCTAGTCAGGTCTCGCCAGATCTTGACCACTTGCGGAACGCGTATCTCGAACACAATCGCCTTAGCCAGGGTGGTGTCGCGGGGTAAGGGCCACTCGAAAATGTCAAGCGTTAGGTACTCTATCTTCTCATCTAGGGCGCAACCTTTGCAGTCGTGGGCATGGATGTTGCACCGTTGATCGTAGTCCCATTCCACTTCATGTGTGGCTAGGGAACGCTCGCGAGTCAAGTCGTCATACCTGGTGCGTAGCCAATGGTACCGTTGGATTCTGTCCGCCTCTGTCCGTCTCGATTCATTCTCGATCTGTCGCAAGAGCGTCTGATGCTCAAGGGAGGAGTCGAAATAGCGGACGGCAAATGAGTCTGCCTGCCCAAACTTGGAATACATCGAACCGTAGAAACTACGCCTAGTATCCTTTGCCCGATGCCTCCTGTTGTGGAGGTAGGCCTCGATGGCGTGCAGCCGGGCCATTTGCCTCTTGGTTGGCAAGATCAACGGCCGAAAAAGGTTTGGCATGAAACAGGGGTCATACTCGAGGAGCAAAGGAACAGCGACCCCAGCGACCTTATCCATGGCAACCCAAAGATCCATCAGGTTCAGGTACATGAGAGAGAGGGCTTCCGGATTTTTGAGGTAGACTGTGGTCGCCTTTGCGTAGTACTGCGTCGTGAGCTCCTTGAGACTCTGCAAGTCGCTCTCTGCATTTGCGGCTCGCGCCCGGCTTGTGATCCACGGAGCCAAGTTCAGCTCGATCCACGATTCCAGTTCCAGGAGAGCCAGCCGCTCGTCTGCTCCAGGTTTGGGGAAAACAGGCAGGTCATCTGGTGCAAACACAAAAGACTTCGTCAAATCCCCAGGCCCAGCTGAGTCTGCCTCGTCCATGGATCGGGATTGCAGCCAGGCCAAGTGCGGGCCCAGCGTTTTGAGCCGGAGTTTTGTGTCCGAACTGAATGAAGGAGAGATGCTTGAGGCGGGTGTCCTGGGTTGTCTCGTGCCCTTTCTGGGTTTTCTGCCATCGCTGTTGGAGCTCGTCGTGGCTCGTTGCGATGACCTCCCTAATCACCTTCACCCAGGGGAGGTTCTCCTGGGGGTTGATCTTGATGACGCGCCGGACGAGCTTTGCGGCCATGGTATACCGAAGGTCGCTGTCGAAACCAAGTAGCTTAGCCTGGTGTAGCAGATGGGCATGGTGGAAAGCCGTGACTGCCTTGTAGAGCGGCGATTGTCCACTTTGGGGAGCAGCTCGATCCAGTACTAAGCGCAAGCCCACTCGCAGGAGCAACCATGTTGGGGACCGATGGAATGGCAGCCGTGCACTGTCCCAGCCCACTTGTTCTCGGCTTCTCATAGAAACACGTGTCGGCTCAACATGTCGACCCAGCCCCCCAAGGGTTCCGAGCAGCATGTCGGTGACGAGAAATGGAGAGACGGTGTCGCGCGTTTCCTCAAAGTCGTAGCCGGATTTCCAGGTCTTTGGTCGAGATAGGGGCGATACCCGAAGCTCCAGTCGATGGAGCACGTTGATAAGCTCGTCAAGGAACTCGGTGTTCAGCATGGTCTTACGGTCTACGACGGCCGCGCAGTCAGGAAATTGTCGCTTGAGACGGCCGATGTGAGGCATGACGTCTTTGTTGGGCGCGAGAAGCTCGAAAGCCTCTATCAAGACACCATCTTGTTGGCCAGTCAGGAGAAGACCGGCGTTTTGTGCGCGGATGTGGAACAAGGCGGATTCTAAGGGAGTCCAGCATCAGTAATGGGACCCGAGATGGGAACAGAAGCAATTTCACATACCCCCATTTTTCAGTTCTTGGATGACACTTGCCATCGCAGCCTTCTTGGTGCGGCCATCCATGCCGGGCGACACTTGCATCAGCCGCTGGAGCATCCGGATAACAGGCTGAAGCTCTTCGGATTCCGCCTTTGAACATCGAGAGCAAAAGTTGACGACGGATTCACGCAGGAATCTGGCGAGATTGTGTTCCTCTTTGATGTTGACCTCGCCCTCTTGGGGGGTTTTGGGGGGCAGGAAGACGTGGTTGATCGCATATTCCAGTGTCTCTGCACGTGGAAAATACGACGCGCCAAACAGTGCACTCATTTTAGGCAACCTAAGCCAGCTCCCACAAGGAAGCTGGAAAATTCAAGCAAGAAGACGGATGACAGCGGATGAAAAATGGAGTTGCTGGTAGATCGATGATGGGGTTCGATGAAGTTCAAATTGTCGATGGAAGACCTTTTGCTGAAGGGGTAGCAAGGTCGGTGTGTGGTGAGAAGGCAAAACAAGTTCAGCAAAAGAGGAGGGGGACTCTGGGAAAGGTGCTTAAGAATTGAAGGTACCGAGGTACCAAGCAAACAGAAAAGCAATTGTTGTGAGTTCCGGAGCTGGGTTCAACAAACACCTCTCTTTCACCCCAGCAGCAATGACAACTTCCAATGGATACCCAATGAAGAATATTCGGCAGTGGGCCTCGGTGCATAAGGTAAGATGGTTTACCTTGACACAGCCTGCGGTTTGCCCACACTTTGCCCGTTGTGCATTGAGTGGTCAAGAGTCACCGGGCCAGGGTATGTACATCGTACCCGCACAGCTGAGATGTCATCCCGCTGCAAGATCCCATTTTTTCCGGCGACTTTTACTGTGCAAGAAACAGAAAATCTCAAGTCAGTAAACAGCGAGAGAGGATTTTCTGATGCCTGCAACCGGTATTGGGCTCGCCCTCCAGTCTCTCAAATCTCGACCACACTCGGCGGGATGCAACATACACGCGTTGTTGCGGGGGTGAGCGTCAGTCTTCCGCACGGCTCAGGGGGGGTTGGACGTGGTCTAAGTACCAGGTATCTACCTATGTGTTGAAGTTAGGTACCTTAGTGGGCAGGGGCCGGTTGCCTTCGACGCGGCTTGACCCTTGTAGGATAAACCTACGACGATGAGTCTCGCCTGAGTCGCCTCCTTCGGAGTCCATCTGGCTGCCGTGTGCGCAGCCCTGTTGTTGGTCTTCTGGCTTGTCGTGAACAAGCCAGAATCGCATCGTTGTGACCTTCAAGTTTGGCGACTGGAGTTTCTCGGATCGCCCTCGAAGGGTTAACATACCAAACACCGTGGCAAGTCGTTTAGTCTCGGGGTTATTTTTCGATTGCAAATTTCCCGTCTGAGGGTGTATTGTCATTTTGCAGTCCAACTATCTGACAACCAGGCCCGGTTGACAGTGTTATGAAGCAGGGTGAGTCATTTGATCAAGCAGCAAGTTACTCCCACCAAAATTCGGGCGACCAAAACAATTCTCCCACCACGCTCGATTGCCGAAGGTTAACCACAACGCACACCAAAAATGTACACAGTAGGTCAAGTTCCCAATCAAGCCAGCGAGTCCAGAATCCAGGTCCCAAATCTTCCAGCTGTCTCGCGGCCTCCCACATCGCTGCCATTTATCGTCCCTCTCCGTTCGCCCATCGCGCTTAGGCTAATTCGTCAACATGAAGCAGTTCGATGATTCGCTTCCAGCATACCGCAAAATGTCGACCGAGCAGGCACCGATCGAGCTCGGCCAACCTCTCATGGAGGGGTACCGGCGCCCAGATAGCCCCATGGAGTATAGCTGCCAGCTTTGTGGAGTGGACTGCATTAGCGGTTCCTACCCTCTGCAGTGCTTTTGTGCCTCTCGCGACCAGAATCGTTGCCAGACCTTCGCCGCCGTGGTCTTTATCACCGTGGTCATTGCGGTCACCGTAGCGTATTGCTACACCATATCAGTCTCCGCCTCCCAGCCCCCGGTCGGTAAGTTGTCCCAGCCTCTCTCCCCAAAAGTCGTCGATCCCGGTCTAATAGTGAGCGCATGGTCACCTTGTTGTAGTCTAACTTTCCGACAAAGCCATGCCCAACTTGGACCAATCAAGATCGCAGCCACGCCGACTTTGCGATTAGAGCAGCATGAGCATGGACATTGGGTTGGGGTTTGATCTTTGGTGTTTGGCAAGCATTGGTTTGGGCCTTGGGGTCAGGGTTTTACTACAGGAGCATAAGTTTGGAGTTTGGAGTTCGGGATTACAATTGGGATCCGACACGGAATTGTGCTTGGGATGGGATTCCGGTTGGGATTCTGCTCGGGGTCCTGTTTACCGATGGATAACCTCCTCGCCGACTCGGTTCTATCAACGAAGAAATTCAAGAGCCATCTCCTTCTGTATTGCCCTATTTATGGCACAATCCCGGGTGTATAACAGTATGAATAACTTGGCTCCGCGATTCAGTGGTTCCCCGCTCTTCCCCGAGTCTTCATCGCTGAAAACTAAAAGGCCGACTGGGAAGGCTGGTTTGGGGTGCCGATATTTTGGATGGAGCTATTCGGTCTTACATGAGATGGTCTGGAAAGCCATCAACGAGAACTTAAAGAAGGAGCTCGGCCACCGCGCGGCCGCACCCCCTGGTTGCCCTGCAGGGAGCAACCTGATTGTTGTTGGCGACGTGGCTGTGGTGGTGTTGGGGTTGCTAGTGGCCAAGGTCGGCAGATGTCAGTACCCGTAGCCGCCTGCTCCGGTTCCGCGAATCCCTAAATTGGGCGTCTGACTTGGGCCGCCAAATCCGCGCACGGAGAAAGTCGATACACTCCGTAACTAGGTACCCAATATTGGCGTGTTGAAGTACCTATCTACCTATTCCAAGAATTTGTTTTGCGCATTCGCAGGTCCCTTTTTGGTATGTACTTCCACAAATGCGACTCGAACGGGATTGGATGCAACATGTACACGTGGCTGTGGGACTGACTGGCAGTCTTCGGGACGGCACAGGGGCCTGGACTGCCCGCGTAACACGGCTGGTGCAAACACGGCAAGAGACCACAACAACACCGCTGTTGGTCTTGGGGTGGCCGGCCGCAAACGTGGGATACCATGACAAGAAGGAAGATACAAGTTGCTTTCACCGTAGTAGTAATATTGACGAGGAATCTCGAGTCTTACATGTACATGTACATACAACCTCCAACCGCGAGACGGATGTCGACACAACCACCCCGTCCATATATGCACCAAGCCAGCCAATATTCACCCCCGACAACCGTGACCATGACTCATAACAAGGGGGTATCCGTTGAGCGAAAGAAGAACCCGCCTCACTTACCCGACCAACCAAGAAGAAACAAAGAAGGAAAGCAAACACACCAGACATCCACCCATGCCACGCAACATCTCACACAGCCGACGACCCCCTTTCGACCCTCCCCTCAGCAGTCAAGTCTTCCATGCTGGTACTCTCACTCTCCCTCCTCATGTCCTTCCTACCCACCCACAAACCCACCACCCCACCACCACCACCACCACCATTCCCACCACCATTCCCACCCTGCCTCAACCCACTCCCCCTCCTCCTCACATCCGTAATCTCCACCACACTTCCCCTCCTCCACCACCACAACAACCCACCCCCAAACCCATCACCACCACCACCCCACCACACCCCCCTCACTCCCGCCACACACTCCCCCCACAGACTACAACACGCCGCCCACGACGTGACCACATAAATAATCGCATTCCAAAACCCCTGCAGCGGCAGCACGAACGCGCTCGCAAAGAACAGCGGCTTGGAGACGTCGCCCGCGCGCAGCATGCTGTAGACCCGGTTGCCCGAGGAGGGGATCCAGGTGATGAGCAGGACCGAGAAGAAGAGGATGGCGCACTTGGTGTAGGACCAGGTGGCGTTGTGGGATTCGTAGTAGTTGCGTCGGCGGTGGGCGCGGAAGTCGGTGCCTGCTCCCGTAGCGGTGGTGGTGGTGTTGTGGGGGTGACAGGTGGTGGTGAGGGTGGCGGAGGCGGTGATGGTGGGCGCGATGGAGATTTGCGTGGTGGAGAGGACGCGGCTGCGTTGGCTGCTGCTGCTGTCGTTTTGGGTGGGGGCGTTGGTCAGGGTGGCGGTGCCGGTGGCGGCGTCGTCGTGGTGGATGGCGTCTTCGAGGGAGGGGCGCATGTGCAGCTGGTTGGCGGCGTGGGCGTCGGCTGAGATGGTGACCGAGTAGGATGGTTTTTGGTTGGGGTGGCCGGAGCTTGGGTCTGCGGTGGCGACGGGTGCTTGAATGATCTCGGTGGTTTGAGTCACCTCGGTGGTCTTGTAGTTGAAGACCGAGGAGAACTCGGGGGAAAAGGTGTCGTTGCCGATGGCGGTGCCGGTTCCGGTTGAGCTAAAGTTCAGCATCTTGCGGCGTTTGCGGTAGATCTCGCGGCCTGCGCGGATGTAGATGATCATGGCGGCGATGATGGCCACCCTGTGCTAATTAGCCCCTGTCCGATGCATCTACTGTTAAATGTACATGCACATACCAAATAGGGCCGTAGAATGTGGCAATGCGGTAGACTTCCCATTCTGACTTGAGCCAGCACCACAACACGGCGTCGCCATATGGTCTGCCCGCGTGTTGGTTTGAGACGAAGATGAAGGTGAACCCCGGGATGAAGGGGATCCCATAACAGCAAAAGAGATACGGAATCTCCATTTTTCTCAGCATTCTCGCGTCATATTTGTGGTAGAAAGTGAGGTAAACGTTGATGGCCATGGCCAGGGCCCAGTAAGCGTCGCCCTGCATGAAGCTGTGGTAAAGGTAAGCGAGGGCGGTGGCGTTTCTGTGGGCAAGGATGTCTTACACTTGGATTAGAAACCCCTGCAGTTGACAGCCAAAGGAATCGACATTGTGTGTGAAACTCGTCGTCATCAGGGTCGCCACGTTGGTTAACATGTTACCGAAGGTCGCGTAGAACACCATCCGGTTGATGGCACGCTGGCGGAAGGCATCGGAAAGGGAGAAAGTCACCAGGACAAAGAGGCAGCCTACCAGCGAGAGGGCCGAACACGCCCTCTCGATGGCGATAATGCTTGCGGCATCTTCTGGCGATAGGCCGCGCATAGCTTCCAGCGTCCGGGTTGTCGGGACCTTTGATGGAACCTAAGCACACCCACACGGGTGGGAGCAATGTCGGGCTGGATCTGGCATATGTAGGGCCTGAGCCGGCACTTTCTAGGAGCCGCCTCGCTACCAGTCAACGTACGCCTCCGCTGACCTCTGTCAGCCGCGTGGAGGGTGAGTGAGCAATAACCTGTGGGCGCACGGCAAAGAACAGAAGACCGCGCGAGAATAAAGATGCAAAACGAAAGCTGAACCACAAGGCTCAATGCCCCTTTTTTGGCTCCCATGGGACTGAAGCTTGTCATCCAAGGCCCCAAGCTGCTGCCATGCAGGTGCCGCATGGCCAGACAGGGGCACATGCGCGTGGTGATGGTGTACCGAGACCAGACCAGGAACCAGGAACCCCTTTGCCGTGGCGTCTAGATGTCATTGGCCACTTCAACGGTGCCGATGGCACTTCGATTGCGCTACGAACCAGGTATTGTCCTACACAAACCGAATGTGGCTTGGTAGAAATTCCCAGGCACCCATGGAGGGTTCTCAATGGAGGTGTGGTGCCCCGACGACCTGGCCAACGGAGGAGCGAGCTGAGGGAACGCCACACGGCGCCGAGCCTTTTAGAACCAGGTGTCGTCTGGCGCCAGCCCGTGCGGACGCCGCCTCTTCTGCAGCGAAGTGAATTTGTGGCATGAGTGGAAACAGCGGGATTGGCAGAATGTGGCTTGAATGTGTGTATGAAGTAGGAGCCTTGGAGGTGAGATTGGGGGCGCAATAACCCCTTTGGGCTCGAGCTGTCACGAACAAAGCGGTCAGACTGTCAAACTAAGAGCTGCCTACAGTGTGAACAAGGCCCGGATGTTGTTGACTGTTTGGCTCGGTTTTCGCTGGATGGCCGTTTATCGACAAGGGTTCCCCGGTTGAGGGGGTCTCGACGTTGAAGATCACGGCGTCGTCCCTCGTGGCCTGCCCAGGGCTGGGAAGCGAGAGGCAGCTAGTGTAGCTAGGTAGTTACTAGTGTACATAGTATATGCAAAATGACCGAGCCTTGGTCTTCGCTTGGCGATTTGTTTCGTTTTCCTCCATCCCGGCATGCAGCGGCTCATTGGGGGCCACTCCAGTCGCGTTCAAACGTTGAACGCCTCCCCATCCGCGCCATGATCGGCTCATGCTTGCTTGGTTCGTTGGAAATCTGTTGATGAATTTCGTTGATGATCATTGATCGTCGCTTGCAACTCTGGCCTAGACTCCTCATTCTCGTCAGTAAGGGCGGTGAACATGCGTGGAGCAATTCAAGTTGACACAAAGACGTCGGTCTAGATTTGGAAATGGACTCGCAATTCCCAATTCCCCCACTTTGCTCGGAATTCGGTTCACCAGTGAGACCAGACCATTGAACGAGCACAGATGTTGCACAGACCGCACCTGCAGCTCGGTTCGAAGTCAGGGCCTGGTTGGTAGTGCCAAGGACGGTGGGATCCCGTGCTGCATGGGGCCATCTCAAGTGGGGAACGAGCGGGGGCGGCTGTGTGGGCACCCACCCACCACATGGCAACCCCAGTTCTCTCTCACCTTCATCACCATGTTGCCAGCCACCCGTGACGCCAGCCCGGAAATTGTGTCAATGCGGCGCCGACCATGAAACCATTGCAGACCACCACTATGGAAACCCTGATGAAGCGATCAGAAATCCAAGACGCTAACTAGCATAGCGCAGACGTTTGTGCAAGTCAAACGGCCGTGCTCGGTAATTTCGGCAAGCAAACTTGGGATCAGGCTCTCGAATACCGACGCCACCAGGACGATTCGACGAGGGGGGTCTCGGAGAGCTGACCACCTTCAAAGTGAGAACGCCGAAGAAATGCGCAGGTGGCTGCTCCCTGCGGCGAGCGAGTCATGGAAACTAGGAAGGGTGCTGAATAAAATTCTGCAGCCCCCAGGCGAAGGGCGGATGGTGTTGATCAACGATTTGATGGTGAAGTCGCTGTGCCTCCTGCCGACTTGTGACAAATTTCGTACTCGCCGGTCAACTAGTTTCTCGCCCAACTTACCTGATACCGAGGGATGCATCTGTGGCGTCCAATGGGCGAGTAATCCGATCTTCAAGCCCGAGTGCCCAGGCAAGCTGCTGTCTCCCCGCTCTCTTGAGTTGCCAGCGCTCAAGCTGTTCCCTTGCTGTTTTCACATTCATTCTGCTTCTTTACACTATACACAGTAAATGTCCTTGTTCTTTCTACATTTCCTGCAACATCGGGAAACCCAGGCCACGTTGCTACATTTCTCCGTGTGATGGAAAGTTCCGAGTCTCCTACAGTGGACTTGGCTGGGATTTGCTACTCGTTGGCTCACCAACCCAATTGAATACTAACCTGGTCGTAACCTGTCAACTATGCAAGGGCGGGCAGTGTCTACGTTTTTCGTGTAGCTGCCGGTTTTACTGCAGAGGTAGCATACCGAACATACAAGCTCGGAGATACGGAGGGTACTAGGACACAGAGCCCGGAACCCGGGGCGCAGGTGTGCCTAGTATTAATGTCTTTGAGCTAGGCCGCCTCGTCGTTTAGTTGTTCATTTTCTGGAGTTCCAGGAAACGCCGGAACGTGTGATAACTCATCGACGTCGTTATAGTCGTCTACAAAGTCCCCGACAGCATCATCATCCCGAAGGTCCGCAAAGAGACACTGGGCATATATCTGAGGCCATGTCATTCCTGGGTAGTCCTGCCGGAAATCCAGGTTACACTCTGCAAATGGCGAGTCCTTCTGCTCGTAGTCCACACCAGATCTCCTCTTCACGATGACCAGCATTTCTTTCCACTGCTCCAGTCCAGTCATCAGTTCCGGGTCCTGAGGGAAGACACCCGGTTCGCAGTTTGAGCCTTCCCACGATTTTTGGACAAACTTGACTCGCTTCCTTGGGCCAAGGACCGTGCCTAAGCGGTCAGGTTCCAGTTCCTCCTTGCTACGGTAGATTGTCACCGAAGGGTTTGAGGCCACCCCATCGCGGGTTTCTATGAGCATTTGCCAGTGCGTTGGCTGGGGCTTCCGCCAGTACTCAGAGGGGAATACCCAGTTGTTTCTACAAAACCACGACGAGAAGCCCAGCATTTCAGATCCCTGGCACATATAGCGCAAAGTTTTCCACCCATTGCTTTCTACAATCAGGCGGTGGAGCGTTTTGTGTTGGAATCGACAATCAGATGGAAACAAAAATAGGGAGAAAGAATTGATTGATTGTTCTGTCTTCATCCTCAGTGGCGGGCATCGCCCTGACCTCCTTTTATTGCTTCTTGTTCAGCCCCTGGAACCCCTTTTGCACCAGCGCATCGGCAGCCGAGATTCCGTGTTTCAAGTGCCACAACTTCCAACACTGGTATCCGCAAGAAGGTTCCATGTGGTGAATCCAACATTTTGTAGCTTGCCTCGTCTGGGTATTCGTCGAGAACTGTGAGCTGGTCCAGCCGCAGACCTGGAAGAAGTTTGAGGACGGAGACAAGGGGATAACGAGATACGCTTGTGCGCAGAGCAATCTGGACGTCCCTGTTAAGAACTCTGATGTGACGGATCTGTGAGAGGGTGTCAGCGGGAAGTTCGGAGAGGCTGTGGAGCATTTCTTCGTAACTTTTGTAGCAGAATAGGACGTGGTTTAATCACGACTTGCCAATCTCGAGTTTGGCTCGACGAAAAACACGCAGCAGAGCGAGGGAAGTCAAGGTAGGGCGCAACTTCTGCCCCTGCTCATTTTCAAGCATAAGCCTTGTGCAGGAGAGCAGTGTCCGGTAGATATAGTGCCGCATTTCCTGCGGCAGCCGCTGGAACAACAAGCTGTTTAGTTGTGGGTCAACTACGGCGGCCTGTCCCCGGACTCCCTGGATTTGGTCATTTCGACTCTCAGATTCCTTCTTTGCCCCCATCATATTTTCCTCCGTCATGGTGACGGCAATGACACAGCGCGTGCGCGGGACGTAACTGTCAAGCAACGCGATGAGCTGGAAGCGCGATAACGATTTCTGTAACCTAAAAACAAGAAGGCGCGGGGAGGCCTGCAAAAGGCCCTAGGCTACGTGTGACGAACCTACTCCAGGATCCCGTTCTGTTAGGGTTCAGCTTCGGTCGAAGGTAATCTTGCAAGGGTGCTTAGGTTCGGTGCAATCAAAGGGTGCACAACAAAGACTTGTCTCAACAGTAGGCTTTCGAGCTTGTAGCGAACTGTAGTTGTGATTGCTAACTGGAGAACTCCCAGAGCTCTCCAGAACGAGTGACTATATACCTAGCTAATTCCAGGGTGCTCAGTGTGCTCAGTCTGCCCTTGGAAACTGAGCTCACTGATCACTGTTCGAGCTATTGTTATCCTGATTGGTGATCTTTACCTGGTGCTCAATGTTGCTCAGTTTCGGCTTGGCGACTGAGCTCACTGGATCACCTCGATTCACCCTCTTGGCTCCCTGATTGGTCTTTTTGATTGATTGCCTCAGGGCGTCCCGCGACCCGAGGTCCCTCCTGTTGGCATATTCGTGACACTACGCCAGTTATATGAGCTTCGTCCAGCGGTCAAAGGTAGGAATCGCATAGTATAAAGATATATATAAGCCTGCCCACCTCGGTAAGTCGGTTGCACCCGGTAAAGAATACGGTCATTTTAATGTTCCCATTGTTCATACAGACCTATTTGGAAATGTTGTACATAGGAAAACGTTTTGATAATCGCATTGAATACTTGTGCGTGTGAGCCCGAACACGGTCTTTGATAATGTTGATAATGTGAGTTGTTATATGGGCCATGTGGGTGGCAAGAGAGAAGGGAAAGATAGATGTGGAGGTCAAGAGGAGGAAACCGCAGCACTAGCTATATTATAAGCCAAAATTGGTGATCTGGTTAGTATAATGGGTGAACGGACAAGCGAGACAACTTAACATTGGGTGTCAGTGACACTTCAGAGCTGGGCCATGGGAGTGCGGTGGCTTGCGCTCCCATTCTAAGAGGCACAACCTCTCCACTACGTAATATGTTTTATCTAGGTAGCATGGGGGTTGCCCCTGATTGTGAACTTCCATGGAAATTACGAGGAGTTCTTTGTCCTTAGACAGGAACCCAGGGCTATGACAAAAAGAAAGGAAACCATATGGCCTAGTCCAACCAGTTTCATTCCCGAAAGGGTTGTTGATCGGCATTACCTTAGTTAAGGTGGTCATGGATATCAAGGGAGCAGTTGGTGGAACGGTAGAGAGGTATTGGTATTTCGTTCACCATGTTCGACCAAGCCTGGTCACATCTAACTGCTTAAGAACGAGCGGTTTGACGTCTTGTGTGGGAGCTTCAAGGGTGTGAGCAAAAACGGGTTTCCGTGATGGTGCCGGTGTGTGACTCCGGAATGCAATATTGTGTTGAAGTGACATAAGAACAGTAGAGATCCATTTCGTAATGACAAGTCAAATGCCCCGCCACCCGAGTTGACAGGGGGAAGCGTCTCAAATTGGAAATTCGGGGCCGGTCTTCGTGTTCCTTGGAAGCCAAAATCGGTCGAGCCGGATAGTGACGCGGAACAGACGAGACGGGGCTTTGCACATCGCATCCTGTCTCCTTAGATGGGTGGGTGGCCGAGATGTCGGATTCAGGGCATCGCCAAGAATTGCTTTGGTCAGGGTTCGGGTATCACGCGTGTTGGGCCAATGATGTCCCGGTTGGTGTTGTGAGACAGCCAGCAACCTTGACTCGGCCGCAAGAGGACGCCATGATCGCCGGGCATGGCAGACTCTTTATTGACGGCCACGGTTATCTCGCCCCAGGTCCTTCCCGACACCGCCGGCCGTATCGGGAGCTGCAAGGGACCATTGCAACCTCCAGATGCCAAGAAAGGACCTTTGCGGGGAAGATTAGCGAGCCGCGGTGCTCCAAACTGTCGGAACCGCCCCTGAAGGACCCCGACCCTCCATTTAAGGCTTACCGAGTTCCTGGGTGTCGCCTGGGTGACGAAGCCTTCTTTGGGGGCGCGTTTGGGCGAACTGTGTAGCTGTCACGGCCCTCGTCGTCGTCCGTGGGCGCCGGCTGCGGCGGGCGGACTCGCCGTTGCCTCGGAGCGCAACAGGCCCGTGCCGATGCTGCCGGTCTCGCTCCTCGCTTGCTGGGACCAACTCGAAATCCTGCAGGTTCCAAGTGATGTCATGTGTCTGTCTCCGCCGCGCCCGGAATATTCTGCCCGACTTCAATTTACCCATTCGACTAATTAACGACAGCGGGGCAACGGTGCGGGCAACCAATTGAGCAAATCTCGCCGCCGATCAGTTCGAAGGTCGTGGAACCTCTGGTCAAGGTTCCCTGCACTTTCTTCTCTTAGCCTAGCGGCTCCGTTGACAAGACGGAGCGGCGGGAAGAGCACCCACGAATCTGCACGACTTGGGGCGGCTGCATTTTTCCCAACATCATCTGACTGGCTGTTGCCTGGATAACATTGGTGCGTTGCATATTCGCCCGAGGAAAGAGCGGTTCCAGAGCGAGGCTTTTTGCGTGTCAGCTGCCACTGGTCCTCCGAACTTCGGCACACGTTCCACGAAGGAAAGAACAATTCCACCCCCTTTTTGTTTGGTGCCCCCGCGTGGGCAGGCACGGGCAGGGTCCCGCTAAAGTGTGGGCAGGGGGTGGGGGGAGCCTCTTTTCGAAGATCCACCGGCCAAGTCCCCCGGTCCCCACTGCCGTGGAGGTCGGGGAATCTGCAAAGTGCATCCGCACATCCATCCCCAGAACGCCCCCATCGGTAAACCGTAAGCGGGATGTCGGGTAATATGGGCGAAAACCGGGGACACCGACGCGTCCATCGGCAGCGCAATGGCAGTCGAGTTCACAGAGTTCGCGAGGGACAAAGGGCAAAAGCGACAGGTCGAAAGGGGACGCGCAAGATGCTTGTCAAGCCTTCCCTGTTCCGCTTGGTTGACGGGACAGCCAAAGAGCAATCCCGGAGCCAAGGCCTGCTGGATCCCGTGTCTGAGAGCTCGCCAATTGCCAAGGGAAGGAGCGGTGAGCTGTTTTAAGACCAATTCTCCCGGTTGAGCGCCCCTGCAGATGGAATTGTTGGGGACCGCTTGGTCAGCTGAGAGGGCGTGGGTTACAACCTTGCCTCCTGGGCCGCCGCCAACCCGTGTTGCCCTGTTGCCCTGTTGCCCATGACGTTGGCCCCCGTCCGGCTTCCGAGTTCCGCTGGAGAGAATTCGACAGACAAAATAACGGCTGACCCGTCGCCCGGCCTCGGCCACGCAACCCCCAACTTGTTCCCTTTTTCCATTTTCTTTCTTGTTGATGGAAACAAAAAATCATAAAATAAAAAAATAGGAAAAAGCAGTCGAATCGGGGGTACCACCACCACCACCACCACCACCACCACGCTGGCACAGACACACTCACTCCCTTCTTCAACCCTCAAAACTCGACCTCCTCTCTTTTTCTCCCTCCTCACACCACCGTCAAGATGAGAAAAGAATCCACGATCCTGCGGCCCTCCAACAATGGGAACCGCTACGAGCTCACCAGCCCGACGGCCCTCCCCAAGGCCGGCGGTTTCCTGTGGAACCAGAAGATGATGATCCAGATCACCTGCCGCGGGTATGCTACCGCCCAATTCATGCAGCCGGAACCAGCAAAGTACGCGTACGCCCCCAATATCGAAGCCAAGACGTTCATGCAACCCGAGCCGAACTACTATGCCCACCATCCCGGCCGTTTCGTGTACATCAAGGACCTCGAGACCGGCCAGCTCTTCTCGGCACCGCACGAGCCCGTTCGCGCCACACCGGATCGTTTCGTCTTCTCCGTTGGCAAGAGCGATGTCGCGTGGGCGGTCGAACATATGGGTATCCGCGTTGAGATGGTTATGGGCTTGCCAACACACGATGTGGCCGAGTTGTGGACCATCAAGGTGACCAACATTTCCGGCCGCCCACGCAGGATCAGCGTGACACCCTACTTCCCCATTGGCTACATGTCGTGGATGAACCAATCAGCCGAGTGGAACGACGATCTGGTCGGCGTGATCGCCAGCTGCGTGACCCCGTACCAAAAAGCGACCGAGTACTTCAAGAACAAGTACATCAAGGACAAGACATACTTTTTGTGCGAGATCCCCCCGGATTCGTGGGACGCCAGCCAACAGGCGTTTGAGGGTGAGGGTGGGCTCCACAACCCGTCGGGCCTGCAGGAGCCGAAACTCAGCGGTAGCGATGCACGCTACGAGACCCCCACAGCCGCCGTGCAGTACCGCCTCGCGCTTAAGGCCAACGAGGAACGCGAGTACCGCTTCATGTTCGGACCCGCCTACGACGAGGCCGAAGTCAGCACAATGCGCTCGCGCTACCTAAGCAAGCAGGCATTCGTCCGGACGGCAGACGAGTACGCCGCCTACATGGCCCGCGGCCGCGGGTGTCTGCGCATCGAGACGCCCGACAAGGAACTCGATAACTTTGTCAACAACTGGCTGCCTCGCCAGGTCTACTACCACGGTGACGTCAACCGTTTGACAACGGATCCGCAAACGCGCAATTACCTGCAGGACAACATGGGCATGAACTACATCAAGCCCGATGTGGCCCGCAAGGCCTTTATCACGGCTCTCTCTCAACAAGAAGCCAATGGCGCGATGCCCGACGGAATCCTCCTCGCTAAGGGCGCCGAGCTGAAGTATATCAACCAGATTCCCCACACTGACCACTGCGTCTGGCTGCCCCTCACACTCGAAGTCTACCTTTCGGAAACGGGCGATTATGGACTGCTAAAGGAGCGCGTCCGCACTGAGAATGGCGACAACTTCACAGTTTTCGAGCGCTTCAGCCGCGCGATGAACTTCCTCCTCGACCTCCGCGACGAGCGCGGGCTAAGCTACATTGCCCAGGGCGATTGGTGCGATCCGATGAACATGGTCGGTTACAAGGGCAAGGGTGTGTCTGGTTGGCTCACAGTGGCGACAGCGTACGCTTTGAATCTCTGGGCTCGTGTGTGCGACCATGAAGGCGCGACAGATCTGGCCAAGCACTTCCGTGCTGGCGCCGATGACTGCAACGCTGCTGCTAACAAGCACCTGTGGGACGGCGACTGGTTCGCGCGTGGCATCACGGATGACAACGTAACATTCGGCATCAAGAAGGACACCGAGGGGCGGATGTGGCTCAACCCTCAGTCGTTCGCCATTCTCGGCGGCGCCGCCAGTGAGGAGCAAATCGCCCGGATTCTCCCAGAGATCGATTCGCAGCTCAACACCCCGTATGGGCCGGTCATGTTCGCACCGCCATTTACCAAGATGCGCGAGGACGTTGGCCGCGTAACGCAAAAGGCCATCGGGTCGGCCGAGAACGGCGCCGTGTACAACCACGCTGGCGTCTTCTACATCCACAGCCTGTACCAGTTGGGCGGCCAGCAAGACCGCGCCTTCGGCCATCTCCGCCAGCTTTTGCCCGGTCCCAGCGAGTCCGACTACCGCCAGCGTGGCCAGCTGCCCATCTTCCTCCCAAATTACTACCGTGGTGGATGGAAGGAGTTCCCCCGGACGGCGGGCCGCTCAAGTCAGCTGTTCAACACGGGCACGATTTCGTGGGTGTACCGGGTTGTGAGCGAGGGCCTGTGCGGGCTTGTCGGTGATGCCCAGGGGTTGATTGTCCGGCCACAATTGCCGAGCGGCTGGAACGCGATCAAGGTGGTGCGCGAATTCCGCGGTGCCACGTTCCAACTGGATATCCGCCGGGCGGCTGTCCAGGAAGTTGTGGTCAAGATTGGCGACAAGGTCCAGCCCCAGCAGAGGATCACAAACTTCAAGGCCGGCGAGGCCTATCAGGTGGTTGTCTTGGTGCCGCAGTAATTGTTCGAGGACGGAAGGAAGCTGCATCTGCATGTGTATGGGCAATGGCAACGGCAACGGCAATGGCATGGACGGGATAGCATCAAGGGACACGACGGGGCTCTGAGTCGCTCACCCTCGCTTGGAAGGACCGGGAAAGGAAGCAAAATGGGTCGGCTATCTGAATTTTTGAAATCGCAATCCCCGGTTCTTCATTTGTTTTAGACAACCAGACGGAAACACCTTCGCTAGGTGGGATCGATTAGGCAGCATGTCCGGTCGGGGGGAAGGGCGACCACAACCAGTTGGGAGGGTCAACCCCTGGCACATCTCAACTTGCGGGTGGGCATCCGCTTTGGCGGACCGGCGGTCTTCTGTTCGTTCAATCATTGACCTGGGCGGCTTTTGTCGAATTCACATTTACCCTGACCCAGCATTAGGAAGCTGGGCAGTTTGCGATAATACCACACCATCTTTGTCGGATTACTTTGCCATGGCTTCAATGTATTGCTTGTGAATGCCCAGTCTAGGTACCCCTGGCAGTTAGGATTTCTAGCCCAACAGCATGATGCGTGGCAATAACACTCCGAGTCAAGGGGATGCCCGTGGCAACAAGACTCTGAGTCAAGGACTAGCAATGCATCGAGATCAGTCAAGCTTCAACGATTACAAAGTCATGGATGGGGGCAGGGGCCCGCTAGGGACACGGGTCCCGTGTGTAATTACATGAAAACCCCGATGTTATTACAAAGATTTGTACGCGAGCGTTGCCTCCTGCTTGCCACCTGCATCACCCAGCAACCACAATAATACGACTTACCAGCTCGATGGCCAATTCCTTTCCGGACAACTGCCTCCCCCCCGAACGCGAATACAACTCCCGAGAGGCCCTGTATACGTCAATTAACGAATGGGCTATTACTCGAGGCTACGCCTTTACGATCAAAAGGTCAGCTAGAGAAAAGAGTGGGAAAGCAACGGTCACGTTTGCATGCGATCGAGCCTGCCGACCACCTCCACCAGGAGAGCGCAAAAGGAAGACAGCTACTCGAGGGACCAATTGTCCCTTTTCTGTGCTTGCAAAGGAGTCTCATAACGGCACCTGGACTCTAAGACATCGCCCTGATCAACGCTTCTCTGTGCACAACCACGAGCCGAGCCAACATCCGTCCGCCCACCCAGTTCATCGGCAGCTGTCCTCTCTCGAGAAAAGTCAGATTGCGTCCCTTTCGGACAATAGAGTTGCCTCGAAAGATATTCAGTCTCTTGTTCAGCAAAGAGGTTCTCTCGCAACTCGGAAAGACATCTACAACCGGGTTTCTGACGTACGTCGAGACGCTTGCAAGGGCCAGAGTCCGATTCACGCGCTAGCAGACCAGCTTGAAAAGGAAGGCTTCTGGAGCCGGATACAATTTGCACCGGATGGACGGGTTACAGCCGTTCTTTTCGCACATCCCGACTCTTTGGCCTACCTTCGAGCCTACCCAGAACTCCTCCTCCTCGACTGCACGTACAAGACAAACAAGCACGGCATGCCTCTTCTTGATATGATTGGCGTCGATGCGACACAGCGGTCATTCTGTGTGGCATTTGCATTCCTAAGCGGCGAGGCAGAGGAAGACTATGCATGGGCGCTTGAGCAGTTGAGATCACTGTACGAACAATGTGGCATTACACCCCCATCTGTTATTTTAACAGATCGCTGTCTTGCGGCGATGAATGCGGCTTCAAATCTATTTCCTTCTGCCGCTATACTCCTCTGCCTTTGGCATGCAAACAAGGCAGTCTTAGCTCGATGTCAACCCAAGTTCCCAGAGGCTGAGGAGTGGAAGGAATTCAACGAGTTCTGGCACTCGATCATTGGCTCACCGACGGAAGATGAGTATGCCAAGCGACTAGTCGAGTTTCAGCAGAGATATACCCCTGAGCACCTCGATGAAGTGGGGTATATCAACGCTACATGGCTTAACCCTTTCAAGGAGAAGCTTGTCCGCGCGTGGGTCGACCAGTCAAGTCATTTTGGCAACACGGCTACCTCACGAGTGGAAGGTATCCATGCCCTCCTCAAGTCTTATTTGAGAAGGTCGACACTCGACCTCTTCGAAGCTTGGAAAGCAATTCGGCTTGCTGTTCTCAACCAACTATCAGAGCTACAAGCACGTCAAGCATCACAACAGACTCGAACTCCTCTCGAGCTTTCAGGAGCTTTATACGGCGCTGTCCGAGGCTAGGTATCTCATGAGGCGTTGAGGAAGGTCGAGGAGCAACGGAAGCTGCTTCTGACGAAGAACCGCCTTCCATCTCCGATTTGTACAGGCACCTTTTCTCGAGTCTAGGGGCTCCCATGCTGCCATGTACTACGCACTCGTCAAGGCGAGCCTCTTCTGCTCAACGACTTCCATTCGCACTGGCATCTAAGACGCAATGGGGCCCCACAGTTACTTCTTGAGCCTCGCCAGCGTACTGAGCCAATTCAAGCGCGAAGCTCACTCCCAAAGTCGAGTACCAAGCGGGAGCCGAGCCACTTTGAGGTAGTGGAGGCTCAAGCAGCCCAACCGCGCCGGGCTCCAAGTCGATGCACTAAGTGCAATGGAATTGGTCATACGAGGACCTCAAAGGCATGCCCTTTACGGTATTCGGATGTGTTGTGATTATTGAGATTGGTACGTTATTGGTTGCTAGTGATACATGTGGTGGGGGAGGCGGCAGCGTTTGTTTGTATTGTTTTGTAATAGCATCAGCGGTATTTCATGTAATTACACACGGGACCCGTGTCCCTAGCGGGCCCCATGGGGGCATTGGAGAGGGATAGGGTCTCGGAATCCGATATTGTCTCGGCGTTCAAACTGAATCTCAAGGACACCTGTATGTGTGTCCAAACGTCATCGTCACGGGTTCAATGCCCGTTTTGGAAAACGCTCCGCGCTCCGTGGACTCGGACTGCACACCGGCCACGCGCTGAATCGTCTATAAAACCACAGATCAGAACCATTATGAGATTCAATGATTCGTTTTTGTTGTGTAAGGACGTGGTTGAAGGCTTCGTGATTGGGTTCCGCAATCTCGGGTTGCCAAAAAGGGGCGTTCTCAATATATGGGATGGAGCCTACTGTTGTGAATTTTGATGTTTCTGTCTGTTGAATACTCGTGGTCTAAGTTTTTGGAAGCTTCGCCGGGCCACCTCGTCCGGAGGGATGCTTGTGCAGAATATCGGACGACCCGCTCCTCACACGACAGTTCAACCACTGCGCTACATGATATGTCTGTTCTCGCCACCGATCACCGCACAAGATCTGATCACCTCAACGAAAGGATGCCTTCGTCATGGGAGCGGTCAAGATCGGGAGGCAATATTCACCTCAACGATAGGGTCAGGCCAGCCAAAGCGCCCCTCGAACTCCATGTCAATGACGCGAATCCCAATGTCTGGAACCATCTCAACCCGGTAACCAGGTATACGGATCTAAGTTCCCGGCTCCGAGCAGTCGCAATGCCCGAATAGAGAAGGGGGTGGTTGGGCCTTAAGTCAACCTGCTCCCCCAGTTGAACCAACCCGTCCCCTCGCCTCTACCGTGACATTTCCCACAAACCACAATTACAACCGGAACCAAAACAACTACCAACCAACGCGCCAAAACAGAACCAACACAATGAAGGCCATCATCCTCCCGATGACTCTCCTCCTCCCCTTTGCAATGGGCCTGCCCACTGCCATAGTCAAGCCAGAAATCAACTCTGACACCACCGACGACATCAACCCAGCCACCACCCCCAACCCCAACGCCAACCCCAACACCAACCCCATTGCCCACCACAAACTCTCCCCCCGCCAGCTGAGGGGCATGGGCATGGGCCGGCCGCCTATGCCTGCTATGCCAGCCATGCCCGCTATGCCCGCTATTCCTGCCATGCCTGCCAGGCCGGCTATGCCGGCTATGCCTGGTATGTCGTTTGGTGGGGTGGTGAAGCGTGCTGTGGGGGGTGGTGAGGGTGGTGATGGCGGTGATGGCGGGGATGGTGATGGTGATGGTGGTGGGGATGGGGGTGTGGGGGATGGAGATGTGGGTGATGCGGGTGGACAAGGTGGACAGGAGGGTGGACAGAACCCGGGTGTGGCGGGAGGACAGGCCAAGGCACGGTATCCCGGTGTCTATCCCGGTGTCTATCCCGGCGTCTATCCTGGAGCTGCAGGCCCCTTGCCGTATGTGTATCCCGCATATGGCTATCCATATCGCCCCTCTCCCTATGGGTATCCGAGGGTGTGGTGATTGGATAGGGGAAGATGGGTTTGCTTGATGTCTTGTTCTGGCTTCTCCTCAGGCTTCTCGTGAGGTTGGTTGAGGTGTTGTCGTGAGAGGAGCTCGTTCACTGTTTGTATAATGGCGTCATAGGCTGTTGGCCGGGGTTGGGAATGAAATCTTGTCCAAGGGATAAGCGGGAGTTGGTAATGAAAAAGGCAGGAAAAGCGCGGTTGGGAACTTGGAACAACTTGCAACGGTTGGGAAAAGCTTGCACAATATGTAAATAAATACCTAGAATGTAGTCGTAATAATCAATTCTTTTCATTTGTATTTGTTTTCTGCTCTGTACTGTCATGGCTTGGAGTTTGGCCCTTCCGCCGAAGTCAAGAATCCAAGATCAACAGGCTGGTGTAGGCACGCACTGGAGGACATATTAGCTGGAACCCCGCATATATAGCTCAGCTATCAGTGCCCTTACCTGATAGTAGTACGGATTGTATGACGAGCACTCCCCGTTAGCGCAAGCTGATGCGCCGACATAGCCCATACCGCCGCTGCATTCGCCATCAGTCAGGGGGTTCGAGCGCAAAACACAGCTGACCTACCATTGTGACCATAAAGGCACGCCACCGCGAACCGTCTTGGTTTCGCAGGCTGCTGCCGTCGTTGTCGTCGCCACAACCGCCGTGGAGCTGGGAGTTACGCCAGTCGTCGTGGCTGTGGTGAACGTCGAGATTGGCGTCGCTGGAGCCGAAGATAGACTCGGCTGCCCACCTGAAGGAGCCCCTTCCTGACCCCAGGAGAAGCATCCCGTGGTGCAATTTAGCTCAAAGAAGGCCATGACCGTGTTCTCCTGGACTTTGATATCATGCGGCACACCCTCGGCGCTGTACGCCTCGAACCAGCCGTTCTCCCCATACACGCTCTTCGTCCACCCCGCCAACGGCGTGTCCGGCACCACACTCACCGGCGCATCACTCAGCCCCAGCACATTCGTCCACAACTTCACCCCCTCGCCATGATTCACATAGCTCACCACCTCATCCTTCGTCCCATGAAAGATCTGCACCTTCGGCCGCCACCCATCATACCCCGGATACGCCGCCCTCACCAAATCACCCCACTCCGCCGGCGTATGAGTAACCTCACCCGTCGCACACTCCCCATTCCAATACCCAAACTCCCCCTGATTATCCCCCGGTGCAAAGCACCCAAACGGCACGCCCGCGAACGCCGCCCCCGCCGCGAACACATCCGGATACGCGCCCACCAAAACCTGCGTCATCATCCCCCCCGACGACACCCCCGTGACAAACACCCTCGCGGGATCCGCCCCGTACCGCTCCAGCGTCCAGCGCACCATGCTCACAATGCCCAGACTGTCGCCCCCCCCATCGTGCGTCAGCGTCTCGGCGCTCGACACGTCCCAGCACTGGTCCCCCGCGGCGGGGCTGCTGCCCGGGTAGATGACGAGGAAGCCGTGGCGGTCGGCGAGGGCGGCCCACTGCGAGCCGGCGAAGGCCGCTTGCGCGGTGCCGTGGCACCAGTGCGGGTTGACGAGGATGGCGGGGGAGGGGGACAGGGTGGAGGGCGCGTAGAGGTGGAAGCTGGTGTTGCGCGGGTTGGGGCCGAAGGGGCTGGTGATTTGGGTGAGGGTCGCGGCGTGGGTGAGAGTGCTGCTTAGGAGGGTTGCCGCGAGGGTTGGGAGGAGTTTCATTTTGGGGAGTTGCGGGAGGTTGGAAAGGTGGTTTCTGTTTTTTTTGGGGGGGTGGTGATGATGGGTTTAGGGCGAGGTGGTGAGCGAGGAGATGGTGATAGGGGAGGGAGAGGTATGGAACATGGAGAGAGTGTGCACTGAGGAACCCACCGCCAATTGTTGCAAACTAAACGAAGCCATGGCGATGTCAAGCAAATACCGACCGACGACTGAAATCTTGCGGATTACCTTCAGCCGCTGGATTCCAACGGTGTTTCTGTCCCGGACCAGGAGTTTGGGGGTTGGTGCTCGGAGGAAGGCATCCCGTTGCTAGAATGGGGAATGGACATGGCGCTCTGTGTGAATGAAGACCCAGAGGTGGTCCACCACCCCAGCAGGCCTGTGACTACCCAGCCCCCCTTGCAACCCTGCAGCTCGCGATACCCAGGCTCCCAGGGCGTGATGGGATAAAACTTGAAAGCAAGTGGGACTCTTTCGAAGAGGGCCGAACAATGGTCTTGCCGTCGGGGGGGAGAGATAATGCCGTAGAAAGCTGGAACGACATCGGAACGACATCGGATTGAATCATCGGAACGGCATCGGACAACGGAACGGCATCGGTCGCGCGAGTTCTCTCGTCATTGTTATCTCGTTAACTGAGCCACTGAAAATTAGTGGAGTAAGGAGGGAATGTACCCTTGAGTGCGCTGAAGAGCGGCACGGAGGAGGAGCCTTGATCCCGAAAATTGGCGGGGCCCCTCCTGTGAACCCCCAAAGTCCCGAGCCCTGGCTGCCTCCCATTCAGTTTCCTAACACCCTTCCTTCCCCATCCCATCCCCATCGAGGGCATGCACGTTCATCCTCTCCACCCTCAATTATCACCCGTGCATCTCATCCTTGCCCTCCTCCACCATGTGCCGGATGCACATATGGACTGCACCGGGCTTGGACACCTGTGCGACCGGGTCGCATCGAACGTTGCTGCCGAGCCGCTTGTCGCATTGCACAAACTCCTCCTTCCTCCTGCAGCCGCAGGTGTACTCGCGATAGTATTGGATGCACATGGTGCCGGCTGCGAATAAGGTCAACTTTGCTTGGTCGCCCGTGGGAAGGTGCTTATCTAGCTGCTTTACTTGCCGTGATGGTTTTTTTCGTTTCTGGATTGTTGTGGGTGGTTTCGGGTTTAGGCTCGGCAACTGCGAAATCGATGTTTTTATTTGCCGTGCCCAGTGTTGGAGAATCATGAGACTGTGCCCAGAGGCCTGTGGAAGCGCCTCGAAGTTGGGTCACATGGGCACCTAAATATCTCAACCCCCCACGCAAACCCTTCCTCTCTTCAAACTTGTTGTAAATTCATCAGCCACCTGCCGCCAATGAGGAGGAAACGTCAAAGTGAAAGAGGACCAAAATCTCGTGCTTCACCAACAGGAAAGAAAGAGCGGGATATGTAGGAGCTTGTAGGACCCATTGTTCCTATTGCTCGCCACTGACCCTAGATTGGTGAGACGAGAAGAAGTAGTTTAAAGAAAACGAGACCGGACCAAGTCAGCTGGTACTGGGACCAATGCTGTCCGATGATAACTGTGCAAAATCTGGGGCGAATAGCAAACTTTGGGACGAACAGGATACGAAGGCTACCTACCTAGTTACCTCAGATATTATCTAGGTAGGTAGTCGCCTGAGAGATGCTGTAAGCGGACCTTTGGACCATCCAAATAACATCTTCCAGACAAGAGGACCGAGGGAAGTTCCTCTTTCATCCTATAATCCCACTCAACAGCCCCTGAACGACCTGACAGATATCGACACGCCCTCACCATTTAAACAGGCATAGCCGAGTATCCGGGTGGCGCGAGCCACTACAATCGCGAGATCGTCCCTTCAGTCAAAATAGCGTGTAGATCGGGTTTAAACAACATACCCCTTCAACGGACACTCGAAGAACCGGAATAATGGTCACCGATACAATAGCCATTGGAATGATTATCCACAGAAGGACGACCGTACGGGATATACTATAACAATACCAGGGGAATACGCAAGAACGGGTAAACAACGTAGTAAAGGAGATGACGTACAGAACCTTTCAAGGTTGACATCAGCATTCATAGACTTCTTTAACCACGTTCTTGCTAAGGGGCTAGCAGATAGCTTCTGTAGAGAATGGATAAGTCTAGCATGTCATAATTCCACTACGATAGTTACGTCATCCATATCCGACATTATTCGGAGAACCTCAAGACGCTGTTGAGAGGTTAAGCGCAGCAATGGTATCTCGGTCACCTCGGAGACACGGGCCGCGCATGGCCGGGTTACAGCCGTCCTCTTCGCGCATCCCGACTCTCTTAATAGCTATCTTCGAGCGTACGCCGACCTCCTCCTCCTTGACTGCACGTACAAGACGAACAAGTACGGCATGCCGCTTCTCGATATGATCGGCGTTGATGCGACTGGGCCCTCCTTTTGCATCGCGTTTGCATTCCTTAGCTGCGAGACAGAAGAAGACTATACGTGGGCGCTGGAGCGATTGAAATCGCTATTATATGAGCAGTGTGGGGCTGCCCTCCCATCTGCTATTCTAACAGATCGGTGTCTTGCACTTATCAATGCGGCGTCGACTATTTTCCCCTCTGCTGCAACGCTCCTCTGCCTTTGGCACGCAAATAAGGCGGTCCTCGCCCGATGCCAGCCAGCGTTCTCGGAGGCTGAAAAGTGGAAGGAGTTCTAGAATTCTTGGCACTCGATCATCAACTCGCCTACCGAGAAAGAGTATACTATACGCCTCGCCGAGTTCCAGCAAAAGTACGTTCTCGAGCACCCGGAGGAAGTCGGGTACATCAAGGCTACGTGGCTTGTTCCGTTCAAGGAGAAGCTCGTACGTGCGTGGGTCGACCAGTCGACTCATTTTGGCAATACAGCTACCTCGTGAGTAAAGGGGATTCACGGGCTCCTCAAGTCGTACTTAAAGCGATCGACATTTGACCTCTTCGAAGCCTGGAAAGCGATTCGCCTCGCGCTCCTCAACCAACTCGCCGAGTTACAGTCAACCCAAGCGAAGCAACAGACCCGAACGCCTCTAGAGCTCTCGGGGGCTTTATACGGAGCTGTACGAGGATGGGTGTCGCATGAGGCGTTAAGGAAGGTTGAGGAGCAAGACGCCTTCTCGTCGAACTCCACCGCCTCGCTGCGGCCCTCCATAACCGCCGCGGGTTCGGGCGCGGGGGCGACGGCGGCGGCGGCGGGTCGAGAGGGGGCTGTGCGGAGGCCATGATATATGGGGCGTACGGCTATGTAGGGCTTAGTATACGTGTGCTCGTTAGCCTTCTGCCGGAGAAGCGAGGGCGCCTCTCGGGTTCGAGAACGACTGTGTCCCCCGAACCATGTAATCCACAACCTTTGTCTTCTCATTTAGCCTCAACCCGTTGCGCTGTCAGCCTTGATTTTCCGCAATTCACCGCTTTCAGCACACAGCTCCCCGTCGCTGCCTCTTCTTCCGGAACGTGCCGTTACCCTCGGCCCTCTCGCTGAGAGTCCTGTCGACTCAATATTAACTATCGCAACATTAGGGTTATACCCCCGTCGCGGTCCGGAAACTCTCGAAGTGTCTTCCCCCAGCGGTTATATGGTGGCGGACCGGGACGTAGCTTTGCCGTACTTTGCTCTCTGACGCTAGTGGGTACTCGGTGTCTTGGGGTTGCTGACTTGGGAACCTGGTTGCTTTTCCTATAAAGTCGATCGGACGTTTTCAGTGATTTTGCGGTGCTCCTGTGGTGCTGGACCGGTGATGAGGAAGCGCTTGCCGTTTTCCTTTATAAGCTGAACTCTATGTGTACCTATTTGGACGTTGCATTTCGAGTGGTTCTTTATTGTACCGTTTCCTAAACCATTATGGACTCTGCTATGGTGAGATCCTATACCTAATATCGGCGAGTACCGCCGTGGATGGATATTGTGTAGGTAGGTAGTCAAGGTTCAAGATTTGTCTGTATGATGACCATTATACTCAGTATCGACAACTGCAGCATCGACAGGGTATATGTCTACTATGGAGGTAAAACCGAAAGGGACTTATCCCACTAGATGCCGCTCCGTCACTTGCGAGGTTGGTTGGCTTCTAGTTGAGTTTATCTCACAACCGCATCCCTCCAACGCAAACCAGCTGGCCAATACATCTCTTTCACTTCATACTTGTCTCGTTTCTTACACGGTTAATCATTATACGACGCCTCAACCGCCTCTAGGAAACGTGGCCGGGCCCGAGGACAAACAATGGCCACATGCCCTACCAGATGTCGGCAGGAACATATCACAGGGAACAGCATAATCTACGAAATCGAAGGGCACCCAAGGATAATTTGTAAGCCCGGAAATGGACCCAGAGAATACTTATTCTTGCCACTAGTTAGGGCAAAATCTGGTCTGTAATTATGTCGAAGGTGGTGGGTGGATGGAGTCATGTAAGTTATTGGCAATCGCTGCCCGCCTGAGTTTGCGAAGGAGAAACTTCCAGTCCTCTGTGACGAACCTACTTCAGGACCCTGTCCTGTTAGGGTTCAGCTTCGGTTGAAGGTAATCTCTCAAGGGTGCTTAGGTTCGGTGCAGCCAAAAGGTGCACAACAAAGGCTTGTCTCAACAGTCGGCTTCCGAGCTTGTAGCGAACTGTAGTTGTGATTGCTAACTGGAGAACTCCCAGAGCTCCCCAGAACGAGTGACTATATACTATCCACTTGAGGGTGCTCAGGGTGCTCACGACTCCCTTAATGAGCAGAATGAGCACTTGCTCATTCCCTTGGCAGGGTCCTTCTTGAGCAATGGGTCGGACGTCCCATTGGCCGTCCTTCTTACTTAATGATTGGCTCGGGGTACTACCAGCGTACCCCGCCAGCCGGCTGCATGCGACCATAATCGTGACATCCTCCAGCATCTCGACCACATCAGCTGAGCCACTGCACTCTTCCTTGCCAACAGAGCCCTGAATCGGTAGGTACACAAGGTACCTCAGGTAGGTCGCTGTAGTGCCAAGACGCCATCGTCCGCTTCACCGGCCGGAAGCTGAAACAGAAGCAGGGGGTGGAGAAATAAGGAGAGGGAACTCAGAGGCTCTGAGGGCTTGAGTGAAGCAAGGCAACATCGAGGCTGTCGGGTTTAACGCGGTTGGTTGTGTCTTCATGGTGTGTAAGTGCGGGGGTATACATGTAACCGCCAGGATGGATTTGGCGAGGCTCTCCTTTATGCGTGTGAATGAGTGCCTTGGCCAATGGCAGCTTCGACGATTCGTTGTTGGTCGTGGACTCGTGGTTTTGGCAAGCGCCCATAGAGCTGAGCACGGCAGGAGCTGAACTGGAGCCTGCTGTTGCCTGATGTTCCCACAACCATAAGAGCCATCACGTATGTTGCGTTGCGGGCCCCTTTTACTCTGACTTTAAGCTTCAACGTTGAGACAAGCGACAAGTGCCGAAGCCACCACCTCATCGGAACCTTGTTGATTTGTTACCACACCGTAGAAATGAAGTAAGTTATCTGAGTTCAAGAGAAAACCAATCTGTACAGTGCTGACCACCATACCCGCCCTCAAGTATTGCTCCGCGAAAACGGGCCATGCCGCTGGTGCCAGAACCGTTCGAGCATTTATCCGTCGGGACACGGCCTCTCTTCCTCGGCATTGAGCCGTTAGCCCCCAAATGGGGCCGATTCTGCCCCAATCTTGACATTCCACAATACAGGGAACCTCTGAGCACAGAGAAGAAGACGGAGCTTGACAAGAGGGCAGCCAAACTATCCAAGCGAGCGATAGTCAACCAACTTTACAAGTCTTCCGAGTTTGGCTGGGAAGTCTGCGCCTGGCACGATGTTTTCGGTTTGGTTATGGATGATCAAGCGCTCAGAATGTCAGTCACTCTCGGTAGTCAGGTTGTCTGGTATCTCTACTTACTGGCCCTGGACACCCATGCTAACACATGCCCCAACTTAGGGATAAGAGGCCGTACGAATATGTAGCGACGGACGACGATGGGCAACGCTGTGTAAAAACACGAATTCCGGATGCGACACTGGGCTTGACAGCATACGACACATTCGACTTCAACTTCAGCCGCGATCATGTTTGTACTGGCCCTGACTGCGACGTGGACCACACGACCGAGCCGGACACGAGGTTGTCTCAGGACCGCCTGGTTGCCATGATGCACACTCGCGAGTGCGGCCTCGTTGTGGACGGCTCATGGGGGAATGCCGATATCGTATTTCCTTTTGCGGCCTACGAGGCCAAGAAACGAGCGATGGGCTACGAAGCCGCCAAAGAGCAGATTCGTCATGCATGCAGGACGTATCTCGCCATGCTAGACGACCTGGTCCGGAATCCCGACAACGTAACCGAATATCAGACAGAAGACAGCTCCAAGTACCAGTTCTTTGCATTGACGTCTTGCGGTTCGTTCTGGGAAGTTTATCTGGCTTGGAACTTCCTGGATAGATGTGTAAGTTTGATAGACCCAGAATCGCCATGCACTGCGCACCACGGAGTAGCATTCGCTTACATGTATACAAAACAGCACGTAGAAACCATCTGGGAAGGGGACGTCAAAGACTTCAGCCGCGCATTCGATCTGATATGCATAGTGGACCAGATACACGACTATGCCCTCCAGGTCCATCGCCCATTTGTCATGCGACACTTGGAAGCATGGCATGCCCGGCACGAGAAGTTTCTAGAGCCCGAGGGGCCGTCTCCCAACACACTTCGTGCTGAAAACCATGGAGACGGGCCAGCTGATATGGAATCGGGAGCCACCGGCGGCAAGAGCCACGATGGTTCTAGCAGCATGAGGTCGATCCAGATCGAGGAAAGTCTGGACATGGATGATTTCGGAAAAAGGCCCGAATGGTTCTACCTTAAGAAAGCATCATTGGCGAGGAGAAGAAACAAGGCACAGATGACACGCGAGCACTACATGGACCTCCGTAAATTCGCCCAAGCCCGCCAGGTCATGGACGCTGGCCCACTGCCCGCGCAGGAAGAAGCCACGAATGGGAGTCTGAAGCGAGGCCACGGTGGGCCACGGAAGACTGGTAACAAGGTTGTGAAGGCTACCATAGCGCAAAGCTCCTCTGGCGGCACTCGCAGGTCTGCACGGTTGCGGGCCAAAGGGGGCTAAGCTAAGAAACCTGGAGTCCTGGACTGACAAGGGAACGGGCACTTGGGTTTCTGTTGTCAGGCAACTGATGGGAGAGACGTCACGAGTGAAGCCGGGCAGAAGATTCAGGAGACGTCATCGGGGCATTCTGTTGCCGAGCAACTGATGGGAGGCGAACCAGGTGTCTTGAGGGCCAGAATATCTCGTAGGGACAGGGATATATGGGGCACATCGTAAGGTGTTCTGTCCAATGGGCAGATATTCGCCGTGCTTCACGCTCCTGCTCTCTTCCATCTTCGTTTCCTTATAAGCCTGACTCTCTTCCTCCATCGTCAGTTTTTATCACAATTTCACAAACCTGCATCGCTCTCTTTGGATCAATCACCATGCCCCGACAAAACTTGACTCCGAACGCATGCAATGCATGCAAATCAAGGAAAATCAAGGTGCGTTCCAGCGCTCGAGCACGAACCCGCGGCTGGTGCCATGAACCCGACGCATAACTACCAGTTTCCGTCGATGTACGGCACCCTCCTTTTGTTCGTGCCGCCAAAAGGGTAGGAGATTTGCTATCTCGCCGAGACCCAGGCTAAAGTCTAAACCTTGCCAACGACCTGTCCACTCCTCCACCCACCTACCTGCCCAGATCCCGTCAGCGGTGACGAGCACATGTAGCTAACGCGTCCTCCCCGCAGTGCGATGGACAGCAGCCCTGCGACAAGTGCGCGTTGCGAAAAGCGGCCTGTCAATACGAGGCGAGGGATGCCCGCACCAAAAGCGAGCTCAAGGCGGCCCTCAACAGCCTGCTGAGCGAGCGCGAGGCGGGCCTGTCCATCATCTGGGACCTCGTGGGCCACGACCAGCAGCGCTGGGAGGTCATCGCCGCCCGCCTCCAGGAGGATGCCACCGCGGCGGGTCCCAGCACGTCCACGTCCACGAGTGTCGCCAGGGGGGAGGGGATAGGAAGCGCGGCTCGCGCGGCTAACGCGGGTGGAGCGGGTGGAGCAGCGACCGCGGGTAGGGTAGCCGGGCCGGGTCCTGTTCTCGTGGGAAAGGGGAAGGGCAAAGCTGTGGCGACCACACTCGGGCATCTTGGGCGATCCGCTACCCCCGTCGCTCGCTCCTCTGGACCTTCACTTCTTTCGGGGGCCCTTCATCGCTCGGTCCTGTTGGGGCGCCCTCCGCCGCGCGTGCTCTAGGATCGCCTTCGTGGCGCTGCCCTCCTGCCACCGGAGAACGACCGTTCGCCGTTGCCTCTGGGTGGCCTTTGTCGTCCGCTCACCACACCACTGGCGGGGTTTTGGACCCCCCTGCGCTCGGGGAGCTTCCGACGGTCTCTGATCCGGGCCACGATCCCCCGGAATTTACACTTCCAGACTGGATTCCGGACGAACCGCCGGATGGGGAGGGTTGAGGCTATTTGAGAGCCGGCGGGGAGGTGGGGGGTTGGAAGTTTGTTGCGGTCCCGGGCCGGGGTTCTGGGCCCACCTTTTCCAGACTGCGCACACACCACCGACCATGCGTGGGTAAAACCCCACGCAGTGCCACCAGTTCTCCCACTTAGTTTGTTAGACCAGTTTTTCCACAGAATACACAGACATTGCGATCTACAGATCTTTTCGTGCCTGTGTCTTCCACAAAGTTGGGAGCGTTGGTTTCGTTAATAGAATTAAAATATTCACCATCGCCTCAAGTGGACTATCCGCTGGCCATGCTGCTTTCTGTGATGTGTGTGGGATTTTACAATGTAGTCTGTGTCAATAAAAGGGTGACTGAGGAGTGATATTAAGAACATTCAACACCACATCTAGGGGATGACCAGATAGTCGGCCGACAAATCTTCTACTCGCTCATGTCACGACGCTGATCCTTCAAAAAAGTTGTATTTAATCAACAGCGCAGTTCAATCTCAATATCAACCGTTTGTGTTAAATAATCGATTCGACGACATGTGCGGCGAAGCCCTGGCGCTGTAGTCTTCTTCAGTACCTCACCTTCTCTCCCCCCACTACCCAGCACTCACATCCCATCCCATCACCGAAACGCCACAACAAACCTCCTCGGATACTCCAACAACACGCACCCGTCCGCCGTCACGGGATACTCCCTCTCTAACCTGCGCCTATACTCCTCCAAAAAAGCCTCCCTCACCCCCCCTCCCTCCCCCTCCCCATTCCCCGGCAACACCGCCAAAAACGGCTGCAGCCCCGTCCCCCTGACCCACTCCACAATCCCGGCATGCCCCTCCCCCAGCACATGCACATAGCGCGTCGTCCACGTCTCGACCGCGCGACACAGCGGCCTCAGCGCGTCGTAGTACACCAGCGGCGACTCGATGGGGTCGAGGTCGGGGCGCTCGCCCGCGTCAAGCTTGTTGAAGTAGGGCTGCCAGGGCCCCGGGGCGGCGGCGGTCTCGCGCATGGCGCGGTGGGAGGGTTCCGCGTGGTTGTCGGGGACTTGGAAGGCGAGGACGCCCGTGCCGGGGCGCTGGGTGCGCAGGAGGCGGGCGAGGGTGGGGATGCGGTCGGCGTGGCGCAGCCAGTGGAAGACGGCGTTGGAGAAGAGGAGGTCGGTGTGCGGGGGTGGGGTGTAGGTGTGCAGGTCGGCGAGGGTGAAGGGGGTGGTGGGGAGGGTGTGGCGGGCTTGGGTGAGCATGGCCGGGGAGGAGTCGACGCCGGTGATGGTGGCGGTGGGGAAGCGGGTGGTGAGGATTTCGGTGCTGTTGCCCGGCCCGCAGCCCAGGTCGATTATGCTGCTGGGGGAGTAGTCGGGTCCGAGGAAGTGCAGGAGGTCGTGGATGGGGCGGTTGCGCGCGTCGCGGAAGAGGAGGTATTGGTCGGGTGACCAGTCGCTGTCGCTGGTCTTGGTTGGTGCCGTCGTCATGGCGGATTGGAATTGGGTTGGCCCGGGGGATACACGCAATCGGGGAGCACCAGGGGAGCTGCTCAGGATACCGGTGGCAGTGACTGGTAATAACTTGCGGGGTTTGTGTTGTGTCGAGAAGCGTCGTGCCACTGTGAAGCAAAAATTGACCCCTGCTGTAGTTTGCAATCCACTCCGGAGGGGCAGGGTGGGTACAGCACCCTTTAAAAGCATTGTGTCGGGGAGATGTTTTGGAGGTTGACGGGCCACGAGCAATGTTGAGATGAGAAGGTCAAGTGTGATGCTGAGATTACCTAGGTACTGTGTAAGGTACTGACTCAGGTCGTGGAGTCGTGGTTGCCGTCGATCAGCTGCTGGCCTGTTGTCACATATTACGTAACTTACGTAACAAAGGAACCAGCCAAAAGGGGCAGCTGGATGACGGAAATAACTTGGACACGCCAGAAGGGATTGCTCCTGTGCAAACATGTAGATGGACCTGCACACGTGCTTGTTTCTCTCTATTTTCCAACGCTGAAAACACCCAGTTAGGCTTCTCGTGGGAAACTCGAAGGCGGTGCTTCCAAGTCATCCTTCACAGTCCGTGGCAACCGGTGTCTTATTTGCGGTAATATTTGTTGGAAACGTGGTAACTAACTAGTTAAAGTCTTGGTAATTATTAGTGTCCGGACAGTCTAATAGCCTACGGAGTTAAAAACAGCATCATCAATAACGAGTTCCAACCTGACTCAAATCTGGCCAGGACGGAAAGGGATGGGCATGTGCACTTCACTCTGACATTGATGATTGAGATGCTACCTGGATTCTGCGTCCACCTTACCGCCCACCGAATAAGACAACGACCGCGTCTTATGCCTTGACCGTGGCCTGGACAGCTCCGATTACAAAGGCAGATCAATGTCATTTCCTGGGCGAGCAATGTCCACCCTCCAATGGTGCTTATTGACAGGGTCCTTCTGATACACATTGACCTCGAAGAACCTATCGTGGTCTTCACACTTGAAGTTCTTGTACCTGATCTCATGTCAGACCTGTAACGGGCAAGGGCAACATACATGTATTCACTTACGAGTTCAACTTTTTGAAGTTGGCCTGAATCAAATCATCCTCGACTACCTCGGCGAACTCATTCTCGCTGCCCTCGACCGGAATAAAGTACCTTTTACTCTCAAGGGGGCCATAGTTGACCTGCCGAACTAGCTGGATGGAGTACGGCGGCTTCAGCGCAACCAGGTCGGTCTTTTCAGCGCCATCGTCGGTAGATAAAGAGGACTCCTGGGGAAACTTGGCCCAAGCCATGAATACTCTGAACTTCTGTTCGTGCTGGAGAATTTGAGGGCGATAAGGCTTCACAGAGCCACAACAAAACAGGGAGGACATTCTGACGCGAGGGGCTGGATGAATCGAGTGCACTCAAGGTACCGTAATCCTCAAGGAGATGCCGAGTGCGCTGACTGGGAAGACGAAGCCTCTTATGGCTCTCATCGCCATGTCTACATGGGCGACGCCAAGGGCTTCCTGCGTATGAGCTGCACGCGTGATTGGTTTGACTGTTATGTCAGTGGCGAACTGTGACGCTAACTAAAAACGCCCTGCAGATTTGAGTTATACCACGCCGAGGATCCAATCAGACGAGTCGACCACAGCCTGCCGACAGATGGCGGAAGGGGAACTGCCCAGCAAGAATAGCATAAGAACGGCCGTTGCACCCTTTTGTATCCTCTCTCTTCTTTTCCTTTCCTTCTTCACGGTTGACCCTGGAGGTTCCGCCGCCGGTCATTACTGTCAGCTCACACCACTTATTTATCTTTCTTTCTGCGCCCACCTCGTCTCTTCCCTCTCGTTCGTGACCAGCAGGCTAGAAGGCCACCCCTCGAGCTTTCGGTAGAGCCCTTCGATTTCCACTCAAGGTTCAGAAGGAACCGCTCAACCTGGACACTTTCTATCGACTACAACCGAAACACTTCAGTACGTTGAGCCCTCCTGGGTCCACGCCGGACACGGAGGTCCTCTACCAGAGTATGACTGGGGTCAGTCATCAAATACCACCGAGCCTGCTGGACAGGACGGACGTACAGAGCAAGAGACATCGTCAGCGCATATCATTTATCCCCCCCATCACCACACACAGGAGAACGACAATAGCCTTGAAGACTCGGGCTCCCAGCCAGCCAACCCCAAGTCTTGCCATTATTGTGGTGAGACATTTAAGAGACTCTGGAACCTGAAGTAGGGATCGAAATATGCCTAATGTTGAGCATAGAGGCTAACACACTTCATCAGCAAGCATCTCAAGAAACACACTCGGCCGTACAAGTGCACAAAAGACCAGTGTGAACAAGCATTTGAGCTCCGGACCGGCCTAAACACCCACCTCCGAGAAATGCACGATCCCAATGCGCCACGGTACTTTTGTCCCTGGAAAGACGCCGGCTGCAAGAGCAGGGTCGCCACAAAGGGCGCAACCCGGGAGGCAAACCTGAACAGGCATGTCAAGAATGCGCATGGGGGACAGCCACCGCCAAGTATGGATGTAGCCGAGCTGCCAGTCGAGTCTTCTCAATATTAGAGCTATACCTTCTCAATACTTTGCTTCGCTTGCTTGATGTTGATGACCTGCTACCAGTTTCACTGGAACGGGTCCTGCCTGCTTTCTTACCTCCATGTCGTTCCTGATAGATGCATGGGAGTGCAGACGCCCCGGATGCTGCGGAGAAGATTCAAGAAGGCCCACAGTTGGACTCTCCTGCACTCCAAGACTTGTGACCTCTACATCCATTTTAGCAAGATCGAGGTGAGTATGTCTCGTGGGATCTTCCTCTCCTACACACTCTACCTGTATGTGGAAGGAAACATTTCCGCCAAGGTGTGGGACAAACATGGGGCAAATTTAGTGTCAAAGACGGCTCCAAGTTGCCCTGCATAACAGTTTGGCAATAGGCGCCTACAGACGACACCATTTGATATCCCCCAAGAGCCACTTGATATTCCGCAGGATGAATATAATAACTCTAAACTAAAATTGGCAGCCACCCACGGAAAACACAGGTGTAGAAGAATCAATCTATGAGTGACCCAGAGCCTAGAGTTAAACAACCAAAACAAACAAAACAAATTAACCCTGTCTACCCCCCAAGCAACTTAAAGATGTACCGATCCCAGAAACCCAACGCATCCCAACCCCACCAACCTAGACGCCAATCTGCTTGAACAAGAACTCATACCCCTCCAAGACCGCCTCCCAGCCCTCACTCCCATACAAATCAAACAAATGAACCGCATCCTGCACAATCGCCGCCCCCGCCGGCACGCCCCTCTCCACCAACGCATCCTTAATCCTCTCCGTATGCTGCCACGGGATCAAATCATCCCTCGTGCCATGAATCAAGAACGTTGGCGTCCTATAACTCCCCGCCACCACCTGCGCATACGGACTCACCGCCGCCACCTCCTCATCACTCGGCTGCGGCCGATTCTTCCAATCCACCCCCTCACCCGCCTTGCCCTTACTCGGCAACCCCCCCAACAAAACCGGCAACGCCTGCCCCTTCCAATTCATATGCAGCGCGATCCTCGACCGCGGATCCTCCAACGACATCCACCCTCCCGTCGCCCGCTGCGCCGCCGGCACATTATACGCGGTAATCGCGCCGTCCCTTACCCCCTCTAGCAAATCATACTCCACCCCGGCCTCTCTCTCCGTCGTCTCCTCGGGAAAATTCGGCTCCCTCCAAAACCCATCCTGATAATCCGTCGGGCAATAAAACGCCAGCACCGCCTCGGGCGGCGCAATGCCCCGCGCCGGCGCCGTGAACGGCAGCGTCATGGAGAGGGTGCCGCCCGTCGACCAGCCAATGACCACGACCCGGCTGCCGTCCGCGCGGATGTCCGGCCGGGTGGCGTTAGGTAGGAGAGAGGGGAGCGTGGTGCGCGCCCAGTGTAGAGCTGTGCCGACGTCGGTCATGGGGCCGGCGGGGAGGGTCACTTCGGGGCAGAGCCGGTAGTCGATGCTGATGGGGAGGAGACCCCGTGAGAGGAGGAGGCGGGTTTGCCGCGGGCGGATGTCTTTGCGCGAGAGCATGATGTGTCCGCCGCCGTGGATCATGAGAGCTAATTGGGGAGTGGGGTGGTTAGAGTTGGTTGGCTGGGGGGGTATATTGTGGCGGGCTAGGTGCTAGGCTTACCGATGGGGCGCTTGGCGGTGCCGTCGTCGGGCTGGTCGGGGTAGTAGATGTCGGCTTGGAGGGAGACATCTCCGACGCGGTGGTACTCGACGGTTTCTTTGGTCACCAGCTTGGCGGCCGCCTTTTTGGCCGCCGCTGCCGCGAGCTGTAGCTTCTCAACCGCGGAGATTAGGTGGTCCGGCGCAGACTTGAATCCCACCACCAGACGGAACTGATCCGACTCCTCGCTGTCGTCATCGCTCCAGTCAACGTGCTTGAACCCGGCTCTCAGCAGGGTATCCTTCCAGAGGAACTCATCCGCAAGGACATGTTCCCGGCCATCCTCAAAGAGCCACCAGCCCTCGAGCAGACCAAAGACACAGTCCAGCCAGTACAGGTTTCTCGTCAGCTCCAGCAGGCAGAGCATACCGTCTTGACGAAGCATCTTGCAGGTATTGGTCGACGAAACCAGCAGGCTCTTGGTGGCATGGACGCAGTTGGACGCGAGGGCGATGTGGTAGTTCCCAACGAGGTGCTGCGGCGGTGGCTTTTCGACGTCGAGGACGGAGAAGTTGACGGCGTCCCCGTACTTGGCAAACTTCCTCTTGGCCGCCGCCACGAGCGACGACGACAGGTCGGTGAAGGTGTACGAAAAGTTGACTCCCATCGACGAGAGCGTCTCGAGGATCGTCTTGGTCGTACCGCCCGTGCCGGCACCAAGCTCGAGGATGCGTACTTGCTCGCCGCCGCGGTGGATTTCGAGTGCTTTGGTGAAGAAGTTGGCTAGCACCTTGGTTCCGGTCGAGAACATTGGCGAGTTGGTATAGACATCCTCGAGCAGATCTCTGTCGGCCTTTGTGCGGAAGATGATCTGGAGGGGATCGACCTTGCCCGACAGGACGTCTGCCAGCTTGGAGCCCGTGGATCGTAGCAGCTTGAGCTCGGAGGCGTGCTGGGGATAGGCGACGATCATCTGCTGGACTAGTTCTTCCGCATCGGTCTTGGGGCACGGGGTTTGGGACCTGACCAGCTTGTCCCCCTGTTTGCGGACAAGGCTAGCCTCTTGGAGAACCTTGTAGAACTGGCCTACGACTTTGGCATGCTTCGGCATATGCGGGACATTGGGGAGGACATCGCCCCCCTCAACACGGGCAATGTCACAGCCCAACTGGGCGAAAGCCTCGAGGACGTAGCTCAGCACCAGTTGCCTCTGCTTGGGGTACGCATTCTGTCGGAATCCTGCCCAGCCGGTTTCCTTTGCGAAGCGAAGGTAATCCGAACGGATCGCGCGGAAGTCCTCGGCCGCGTGTGCGAGGAGGTCCTTTTCCGCTGCAGGGGCCTGTCCCTTAGCTGCGAAGCTGGGGGTTAGGGGCTTTCCACCAGACATGGATGCAGCCCGGGCCACATCGATGTTGGTGTTGTGGCTGTCCTCGGGGATCACCATCTTTACCAGGTCAGCAAAAGTGCAGGTCGGACTGAGCTGCATCATGTCGATGGTCCGTCCAAACTCCTTTTCAATATCTGCCCCCAGCTCGATTCCCAACAAGGAGTCCACGCCGGCGTCTGCTAGCAAAAGGTCTGGCGCAATAGCCTCTGAGACATCAAGATGGCCTGCCACCAACTTCTGCAGTTTGGCCACGAGCTCGTCGTTTTGAAACTCGTACTCGACACTGGATGCAGGCGTGGCCGAGTGAGAGGAGGCTAGGAGCTCGTTATCGTCAGACAGGTCGTCCTCGGAGGAGCTCCGAGCACTGCTCTGGGCCGGCTGCACTGCTGCGCACAAGGATCCAAAGTCCTCAATGGATTGGAACTCAGCAGTTGTGAGGAGGACGCCAAACCTGTCGCCGATGGCCGTCTGCACCTCGGTGGCCATCAGGGAGTCGATGCCGACATCGACGAGGAGAGTGCTGTCATGGATCTGCTCGGGAGACACGTCCGCTACCTCTTGCAGTAGTTGCTTGAGGCCAATTCTAATGTTGCTGTTGACCTTGTCTTCGAGAGCCCTCTTGCGGTTCCGGCTACGCTCCGGAGCATTGGCAGTGCGGATGAGCTGGGTGCTGATGGCGGACTTGATCTGCGCCGCAGCGGTACGGGGAGGTTCAACCTTTGCCTGGGCTTGATGAGAGTGCGCTGTGTTTGCACGAGCCAGTACCTTCTGCAGCATATTCACGTTGGTCTTGGTAAATCGGACCCCCAGGATGGTCATGACTAGAGTCTTAGCTGACGTATCGAAGACGAAGATATCGTTCAGGAGCTCTCTGTCCCCTTGCCTGCTAAAGTTGGCATGCACCAGCCACGGGCCAGCACTGCCACCATCAGGTCTCTTGAGGCTCTGAAGGGCGCGAATCTCATCGACCTGCGAGCAGATGTACACTTCGTCGTTTCCGCACTCATCAAGCCCGTTGACGTGGAGGCCGGCAACTTGGGTGAAGTTGTCAATGGCCAGTGGATTGCAGGCCGACTTCTCCATGTCTGCTCCCTTCGCCGTAGCGTCTGGTAGCTGAACGAGACCGCTCACTTTCTGGTTCTTGGACGCAATCTTCAGCACGCCACGGTAGATCCCCGAGTAATTGACGACCTTGTCGAACATCTTGTACACCAACGGCCCCTGGATGCCTGCGGCGGCTCCGTCGGCAAAGAGAGCTTCGCATTCCTCGTACTTGGCCAGACGCTGGAAGCGCGCAAACATGGCCGCGGTGCTCTTGTCAAGCAGGGACGTGATGCGAATTCTGGCCGTGGCGTGCCTGGTCTTTCTCGACGCCGTGTCGCCAAGCGGAAAGCTATGGACGGTGAACTCCCACTCGTCCTCGCCAATGCTGAGAAGCGTAACCTGGGCTTGCCGTGCCGTGTCAAGACCAAGAGGCGTGAAGATTTCCAGCGCATCAACGCCCGATGCATGCGTCTCAGTCGAGAAGTTGGGGTGGAGCAGAGCCGCCGCCCGTGTCGCAACTTCGATGTACAAGGAGACGGGACAGAGCGGATGGCCGAGGACGCGGTGGCCTTCAATGGCTGCTTGGAACTCGCTGGTCTCCTGGTTGATGTTGAAGATCGCGAGGTTCCCCGTGTCGTCGGCATACTGGGAGAAGGATACCATGTCGGCCGGCTTTGCCTCGATCGCCGCCACGGGGACAGGGGCATCACTGCCGTGGCGATCCACATACTCCAGCCAGTGGTGCCGCTTCTCGAACTGGTACGGAGGAAGCTGCAGGACATTGTACTGGTGCTTTTGGGAGCGATGGAAGGGCCAGAACATGGCCTTGGTCCCGCTGTTCCACAAATCAAGCGTCGTCTGCGCCAGCAACTCCATGGCGTCCGGCGCTCCGAGTTTGACTGCGTGGAAAGCATGCTTCGCGATGTCGACCTGTTCCGCCTGCAGGGCTCGGCGAGCAAGGGGGATGGCCGCCGTGCCCGAACCGGCTTCCAGCCACACGCAATCACTGAACTTCTTCTGGATGCGGGAAATGGCAGCACTAAAGTGGACGGCATCGCGAGACTGTTGGGCAACAAGCTCCGAGTTGACCGTGTTCCAAGCTGAGCCCGGCGAGCAAGTCTCAACATGGATCTTGGGCTGGGAAAAGGAAATGCTATCCAGCAGCGCCTTGTACTCCGGCATAATCCCATCGACAAACACGGAATGAAACCCGTGAGTGACCTCCAGCCGCTTCAAACGGACCTCACTGCCCTGGCCTGCAACCAGGTCCTCAAAGGCGGCAATGGAAGACGCAGAACCAACCACGACATGGTTATCCTTGGCGTTGAAGCAAGCAATCTCAACCTCGATGCCAGCTTGATGAGCGCTCGCCACCAGCTCCTGCGTCTGTTGCTCGCCCGCGCCGACAGAGATCATAGCCCCCCTTTCCGGACCCCACTGGTCCCGAACAAGGATAGCTCGGCCAGCAATCAGCTTCAGCCCATCCTCGAGGGACATGGCACCGGCCACGCAGAGCGCGGTCAGCTGGCCAAAGCTATGGCCGATCATGGCATCGATCTGGACCCCCGCGTCGATCCAGGCCCAAGCGCAGGAGTACTGCAGCGCAAACACGGCGCAGTGGAGCACCAGGGTGTCGGAGATGGGCTGCTTGGAGAAGATGGCGGGGAAGATGCTCGGGTGGCCCAGCGATCGGAGAATGCGGTCGCAGCGGTTCAGGTGGCTCTGGAGAAGCAGGGAGGACCGGTATGCTTCTTCGGATAGGTTGACGGTGTTGCCCGTTTGCCCGGAGAAGACCATGATGACAGGCCGGGATTTGGCTTTTGCCGTTTGCTCTTCGGGCAGTGTGGCGGAAGCGCAGGCGCTCAGTTCCTGGCGCAGGCGAGCAAGAGAATCGACGGTGGTGCCGAGAGAGTAGGGCAAGCTGATGTTCTGGTGGGTGGCGAGCCCATAGGCAACGTCAGCCAGGAGTTGGTCATCGCTGGTATGAGCAGACGCCTTGTCCAAGAATTGCGTCAACGCATTGCAGTAGGCTTGAAGGCTGGCTGCGGACTTGGCTCTTAGCATGACGGGGTATTTCATGGGAAGGCTGTCCCTTCCACGGCGGGCCTTCGGCGTCGTGGTGAGACGTGGAGGCTGGCAAATAAGCATGGCGGCATTGCTGCCGGCCGCGCCGTAGTTATTGACGCATGCGGCGAGGAATTCGCCATTCCAGTCCCTGGGTGTCAGAGCAATTTCCATATTGGACGGACCCAGGGGTGGGATATTAGGGTTGAGTGTCTGGAAGCTGGCCTGCGGCGGGATCGTCCGATGGTGCATCATGAGCAAGACCTTGATGAGGCCTGCCACGCCAGACGCGGCTTCCGTATGGCCGATGCTTGCTTTGACGGAGCCAAAGTGCAGCTTGCGCGAGGGCTGGTTTCCGAATACCTCTCGGATGCTTGCACATTCGATTGGGTCTCCTTTCGGGGTGCCGGTTCCGTGTGCCTCGACATACGAAACCTTCTCAGGGTCCATCCGTCCCATCTTGAGCACTCGCTTGTACAGCGCGGTCTGCGACTTTGATACAGGGACGGTAATGGCCGCACAGTTGTCATTCTGGTTGACCGCAGACCCTGCGATGATTCCGTAAATGTGATCGCCGTCGGCAAGCGCTGTAGAGTACTTCTTCAGGACGACCATTCCCGCGCCCTCCCCGCGGCAGTACCCGTCAGCACGCGCATCGAAGGCCTTGGATTCGCCTGTAGGGCTTAGAAAATTTGCTGCCGCGAGGTTCTGATGCAGGACTGGGCTTGTAATAACGTTGACTCCGCCAGCCGAGGGCCATGAGAGCACTCCCCATTCCTGAGAGCCTGGCATGCGAGTGTGGATGGCCACAGCAGAGGAAGAACAAGCCGTGTCGAATACCATAGACGGGCCACTCAAGTTAAAGAAATGGCTGATCTTGCCGCTCACAAACGCGCGGACCATGCCGAGGACGGAGAAGGCTGTCGGGAGATGGGACGCGACATTGTCCTCGTAGTCAGACGCCGCTACACCGACGTAACAGCCGACGTCGCTAGGTGACGAGCCATGGCTGAAATATCCCGCCGTCTCGAGAGCTTCGTACGCGACCTGCAGAATTAATTTGTGCTGCGGATCCATGGCCGAGGCCTCGCGCGGAGATCGGTTGAAAAACTTGTTGTCAAAGGCGTAGCCATCACGGAGGAAGTTTCCGATGAAGGGAATGTCGTCCTTTGGTGTCCGGCGCAACCCTTTTGTTGGGAACCGTTCGGTTGGGAGCTTGCCGAGCATGGAAGCTTTAGACAGAAGTAGCTGCCAATACTCTTCGAGCGAATCCGCGCCGGGAAATCGGCAGGCCAGTCCGACGACGGCTACCGCGTCTTCAGGGTAGACGTATGCCCCCGTCTTCTGGAAGCCAGGTCGAGTGACGGTAAGGCCACCTTCAGTGACCAGGGATCGAGGTATGCAGTCCACAAGTCCAAACACGACAGCCTCCGTGCCAGTAGAAGCAGGTTCCGGCAGGGCAGACCGAATTGTGCTGCTCCATTCTGACCGCTGAACCAACATAGACCTCGCAATCACCTCATGAAGGGGAGTGCTGTTGCCAATGGGGGACCCCGTGCCGTCCCTGACGAGATTAGGCAACCCACAAGCCACCGGGAATCGGAACTTGGTGTTGGAGTTCCCGAGAGAGACGATCTTCTCCACATGTTCCTCGTGGATGGAGGAGTGAAAGCGGCCCGAGAGTGGGTACGGACGAGCGGTGACCCCGAGATCAGTGAGTTTTGCAACGAGCTCGTCTTGCGTTTGCTTGGGAAGGGTGACGGTGGCACTCAATACATCGGAGTTGACAGAAACGTATGCCTGTTACTGTGTTAATACAAATGCAACTTCACTCAGGGATAAGGTATTGTTGGGGAAAGCTTCAGGCAGTGCATACCTCAGCATGTTCCTCTATCGCTTTGAAAACCGATAGGCTCTCTTCACTGCTCTTCCAGCGAACCGAGAGACAGGAAAATTCCCTCGGTGGATTCGCAAAACATCCATCCAAGTCGACATATGCGCCGAGAGCCACGGCAAGCCCCAATACCGATGTTGAGAGTTTTACCGCCTCTCCTTCATCCTTGGCCAATGACAACGTCACTGCGGCCAGCAATCCGGTACAGAAGCCTTGGAATCCGCCGCCATTGATGGAAGTGCTATTGAGGAGTTGTTCATGGGAAAGGCCGGACACCTCCAAGTAGTTGAAGTATTCGACTAGGTGAGCGATGACGGTAAGGGGTGTGAGGAGCAGGTTGAGTCGGGAAAGCTCCGCTGGCGGGTCCGAGTTGCCAGGGCTGCTGATCCAGTTGGAAAGGGCCCGGAAATGTTCCTGGCCAGGGATGCCTTTGAAAGATGGGTCGGCGAGAGCAAGATCGTTCCAGATGGATTCAAGCTGAGTTATTGCGGTAACTAGGCCCTCAAGTTTACGGTTTCCCAGCAAAGTCGACCGCAGTTGCACGAGCCAGTCTTCCGACAGCAGGCTCGACTGCGGCCCAAAGACTAAAAGTGAAGGTGATGCCATGGTTTTCGGCTTTAGAGATCGACTGTTGAATGTTGTCCCTTGTCCGATGGTGGTTGAAGCTTGACCGTTGACTCCTTCCGCGAATAGGTATGGTATGGACCAAAGGGCCCTTTCTTATGTAGATCTATACCATCTTGCCACCATTCCATAGTTCCTTCCTCCACGTCTATCTCGGAGCCTCATCGCGTTCAGCTGCCTACGCATGCAGCCTGACCTAGCCGATAGGGGATTTACTCTGGTCCAGTCATGCACCGCGACGGCCGTTGACGCTGAGTGCGTCGTGGCTCGGCTGTCCCCAGTCCCAGTTAGGACTGGCTTTGCCACGGTCAGATACGGACGCCCTCCGTGCTGACCGATTCGGACGCTTACTAGGTACCTGAGTTGCCCGGTTAACAAATACTCCGGTCCAGAGTTGATGGAATACAGCCGATAGGCGCTGAACTTTGTTTCCAAACTCGTATCCGGCATCCCTCATCCTGTTCACAGTCTGAACTCACGAATGTCTCCCCAGAATGGCATACTGAGTCACGATCCACCTCCATCGCACCGGTGCACAGAACCCGAAAGTCGACACAGACGGTCTAGCACAGTGATAAAAGCACTGCTGACATTTTTGGGGGGAGTAATTACTGATTATTAAAGAAGCAACAACGAGAAACAGATTCCTAGCAAATGAATCCAAAGCATCCGTCCCTACGGTGTTTATGGCACAGAATAACAATGTAGTAACTTTGAACTGTCCCATGTTGTAACCGTTGTGAAATGGAAGGCCAACATGGCAAAAGAAAGTGGGAAATGGACATGAGAATCCCAGGTGACTTCGCAATGACATTTCTCCATAGACTGTAACCATAAATGATAAACTAGCTAAAATAACGCATGACCTCATTACGCTGGTAATACTACGCCGGAATGCTCTCCACCAGGAATCCATCCAAGTATGCCCCAATCTTGTCCGTCTCCTCGGGCCAGGCGCTCATGCCAACCACCAAATCCGGCCTCACCACCACGGCACACCCACAAGCGTGGTTGACACCGTAGGTGTAGTGGGCATCCTCGTCCGGCGCGCGGTCATCATACACCACCATCGCTTCAGCCCGAATTCCGTCTAGCTCGGGCCCCTCCAGCAACGCGCCAACCTCGTGCGGCAGCGCCTTGACGATGAGCAGCACATTGAACCGCTCCCGGCCGCCAAAGCGGTAATAAAACCCCTTGCTGCTGGACAATCCCTCGGACAACCGAACAATCTGCTCACGCACAGGGCCCTGGAGGTCCGACGCAAACACCAGAACATGGAACTTATCCACCCCCCTCATGCGGTCATACAGCCACCCCGTCGTGTTCTCATCAAAACAAACACGCGGACTAGGCGCCCGGGCACCATTGATGAGGCTAGTCGGCGCCCTATCGCTGCTCTTCCTCTTCTGGCCCGTGGTCACACCCTGATCCGCCGTCGGGGGACAAATAACCGACTCCACAATGGGCCCCTCAACACCAAGCAGGAACATGGCGTTGCGGCGGAAGAAGGACCCCAGAAACCTCCGATCCGCCTCGGTGGTGCCGTCGAGCAGGGGCAGGTTCTCGTCGTGGGCCTCGATCTTGTCGTCCAGGCCGCGCAGCTCGGCCAGCGGCAGGTTGAGGTTGCAGATGAAGCGCAGGTAGGCGCCCGAGGCGCGGATCACGCGGTTGGCAAAGAGCCGGCGCTCCGAGTCGTACGTGGGGAGCAGCATGTCGGGCTTGGCCGCGCCTTTGAGGCTCAGCCCCAGCTTCCAGCTGAGGTTGGCCGCGTCGTAGATGGATGAGTTGAGCCCGAAGGCGCCGAGCACGCTGTGGACGTGGCTGGGGGGGGATTAGGACGGGACAGGTGGAGGGAGGGAATGATGTGTGACTTACGCGGCATCGCCGCCGATGTGGACTCTCTGGTCGGGGGTGGAATAGTATCTAGCCACGCGTTCGTTGACTGTGTTTTGGGAGGTTGTGTCAGTTCTGTGCTGGAGAGAAGAGATAAAAAAAGGGGGGGCGCGGAAATACCTCTCCAGACGGCGAACCAGCTCATGGCCGAGGCAAACTCGACCGTCCACGGCGCCATGATTTTATTGAGATGCTCCAATGCCTCCTCCGGCGTGATTGTAGGGTCGTGGACCTGGGTCTCCCCGACTTTGGAGTGCCCGTTCGTGGCCTTGCCGTTGCCGTTGCGTTGCTCTCTCCTTGAAGCCGCGATCTTGGCTGCTCTTTCACCAGTGATCTGGACATAGAATCTTGGCAACGAAGACAGTCAGTTCAAAGCCGTATTGCGTGAGGAGTCCTAAAACATACCGTGTGTAGCCGTCCTCCCGCGGGATGACAATAACACCACCGTACTGCTCGCTGATCACGATGCTATTCAGGTCAGCACAAAGCCAAGATGTTGGCGTAATACTACTCACCAAAAACCAAGGATATGTGGAAAGTCGGTCTTGAACTGACAGTCCATGATGGCCCAGAAACAGCTCGTCGCGAGACCGTCGAAAGGAATGCTCAACTTCTCGCGGATTTGGCTCGACGCGCCATCGGCACCAATGAGGTACTTGGCACGGATGTTCTCGGTGTCCCCAGTCTTGAGATTCTTCAGCGTTGCGGTGACCGGGTGGGAAAGGCCCGCATCTTCCTTCACCTGGAACTCATCAACGGTGGTGCAGCGTTCCACGAGAACCTTATGGCGAAGGAGGTCTCGAATGTATATTTTCTCCACCTGGCCTTGCGTTGTGACGTGTATCCCCCTGAATCTCGAATCGCAAAACGAACTGGGCCCGTGGAACAGCTTCACGCCGTTGCGGTAAAGAACAGTCGAGTTAAGGAGTGGACCTTGCTCTGAGGCTTCGTGGCCGACACCCCAGGTCTGGAGATATTCGAGCGCCCTTGGTTGCAGCCCATCCGCTCTCCCTGACAAACATGGCGCATCGGCTTTGTCTTTACGTCCAGGGTCAGCAAAGGTCGGATAATCACTTGTTATTGAGATATTGCGTACCAACGATACGGAAACTGATTCCTTGCCGAGCGAGATTCATTCCAACCTCCAAGCCGAAAGGACCAGCTGCCAACGCGTTCCATCAGTGAATTTGTTACGTGGAAGTGGTCTTGGCAGGATTTACCTCCGCAGATGAGGACGTCAACTTCGGTATCGGGCTTCCACCATGATGGCTTCTCTTGGTTGGATTCCGTGCCATTGTACAGGTTTGGCCAGCTGCGAAGCTGCGAGATACCGAGATCGTTTCCTACGGTTGAGGTTGGCTTCTCGGAATTCCACCGGTCGCGAGTAGTGTGAGTGCTGGCCAAGATGGTTGCTGAACTGCTTCTCATCCGCCCACGCTGGGATCGGCGATTCGGCGGGGGCGATAAAGCCATGCTTCCACGTGTAAGGCGGCAGGGATCGGGCCATGTCGGGCGTAGGATCTCGGAGAAATGCTTCGCGTCAAAATTTGCATGTGTCAGACCCACGCGTTCATTCATCCACGGTTACATGTACATACGTCGTGGGGGCGGGCCATGCAGAAAAGGGCGGAGGTTGTACTCCGGTCCCACCAGAACGATGGCTTGCGTGAACCATGGTGACACAGACGCCTTGCTCGGGTATGAGCCCCGAGAGATGGGACGAGGAAGCGATAGTAGCAATTCTTGGAGGACCAGAGTTCCGCCTTGAGTGGTCCAGATACGTAGCATTGCCCCTTATGCATGTTTTCTGGGACCTATCTACGGAAAGCTCCGTCGGGGAAAACTCCGTCGGGGCTTACCGGCCAGTCCCATTCTGGATATCTATTCGTAGTGGCGGCTCTTATTGTTCTGGGCTCCTGATAATTGCTGCTGTGTGCGTTGGAGTTGGTCATGTCGGTTTCTCTTCCCAAGAGCACCAGATGGCGTCTGACCAAGTGTGTAGAATCGGCTTTAGTGCTTGAATCGAGCTCGGATGGCGGAAGACTTTCTAGAACAATGGCAAAACCAATTGTAGGCGTTCTGAGCAGAGACCTCGAGGATGATGGACTGCCTTGAAGCACTTACATCAAGGCTTATTCACCACAGACCCTCCCCATCTCGTAACCGATTGCATCCTTTGTGTGATCTCGTCTGCGCGAAGGCAACGTTGACGTCACCAATAATGGTTCTCGCGTCAGTTATCGTCCCCTAGCCCCCAAAAACACAAGTTCAACTCTCTGCGCGCCTGGGCCGTACAATTCAAATTCCGCTGTGGCGGAACTTATCTTGACAGCATGAAGATATCAGTCCCAATTGTGGTTTGGCAACACAACATGAGGCTAGTTTGCGCCTGATCCGGATCCGGCAACTGCTCGATATCCTCACCGCTTGCCGATACGATAATACCCCAAATCTGCTCGAAAACAAACCGTCAGACGGGGACCGCATCGGGGCAACCTTGATCGCATTTGGGACTTCCTCGGGTCCAGGGCAGCGGAACGATAAGAGAATGGCTGATTCTTTGCCTCAAGCCTGCAGCCTGCGGCTCAGGGATACCCCCCTCCACCCCCTTTCTTACCTGTAGCCACCCGAAGATTAGGTATCTAACCCCGATCTCAGCCCTCCCAACCCCCACCCCCCGACGGAGAGATTGGGGGTCAGACGGGACACAGCATCCGATAGTGTTGTCAAAACTCGGCCCGTGGCGGTGGGCAAAAGACCGCGCAGGGTTCGGAGGAGCGTGCAGGAACGTGCAGGACTACCTTGCTGATGACAAGAGAGGCAATTAAGGCGTACCGTTAAAAGGAACGTCAGAGGATGGTCTGAGTGGGCGCGTGGATAATGTATTGGCTGTAAGAAATAGTTGGGCATTGTGAAACCGAAACCATTATCTCCATGGTTTTGGTACTGACTTGAGATGTAGACCGGTTGACTGGCCCTTTTCAAGCCGCAACATAGTGGCCACATTGTAATCACCAAGTACCCATCTCACGCCTTTTTAACCACAAGGTCTTGAAAGTGTATGCTTCACATCACTGTCCGTCGATGATCGAATTGAATTTATCTCTTCTAAACTTGTACATCAAACCTTCAAACACCAATAATACACCTCGGTTTCAACACCCGTTTGCAGCCTACCAAGTACTCTGCCGACAGTGAAGCAGGCTTGAGCTTAGTCCTGACGCTCCTCATACCAGATAGTAAAAGGGGCAATGTCCACGCCGGTGTGCTTTCCGGCGGCGGCAATGACGGCGGAAGCATTCCGAATGCCTTCCTCGTGGGAGTGGGCAGCAGCTGTTGGATGGTTAATGGAGGCAAACTAATAAAACAGGTAAGATGCATCCACTTACGGAAGGTCTCTCCAGTCTCGCAGCGCCAGTTCCTCCAGGCAACGACCGTCTCGTTCGCGATGAGGGTCTGCTCGCCAACGATCTCACTCCACTGGCCCATGTAGGTACCTCCGCCGGGGATAGCGACGACTGGAGTTTCTGTGAGACATGTGTTAGTCTAGCTTATTCCAGCTTATTCTGGCTTATTCCTTGCAAAGCCACTGTGTCTCAGTTTCTGGAATGCAGGGGTGGGGCTTACTCGGATCCTGCTGGTTCATGTTGACGAACGATCCGTCGGGGTATTCCTTGTACTTGACCAGCTGGGTCTAACGTTAGCAAAGAACTCAGAAATCCCCACTGTGTTGAATGCTTGTGACATGTGACATGTGACATACCACTTCGGTGATCTGATAGAAACCTCCAGCCGGGGCGCTGAAGTTGAAAGTACGGCTGGCACCGGGAACTCCCTCCTGGCCCGTGGTGCTGGCCGGGATGAGACCACCTTGAAACTCGATGTTGAGAACTAGGAGAGAAGATGGATGTCAGTCATGATGGCATCAAATAGAACCTGGAACTTCACTTCACAGCATGGATATGTTATATTGTACTTACACTTTCCCATGATGTTTCTAACCTCAGTGGCCGGGGCGCCGATCACACCGTAAGAAGTCAAGTTCTTGAACGTGGCACCAGCTGGGCACCGACATGGCCGATACTTGGTATCGCACGGAGGAAGCGGTTTGGGAGGGCCACACAAGGCCAGGGCAGGAGCCACGCAGGCGAGAAGTAAGCTTTGAACGTGCATTGCGTGCGTGCTTTTGTCTCAGGGACTTGAACGCGTGTCGGCTGCTATGATAGGCCAGGCAATAAACAAGAACGTGTGGCGATCGTCACGAATGCAGTTACAATGCAGTGTTGCGCAACCTAGGTAGCTATCTGATCATGATGCATGATTTGCCTTGGTTTCAAATACCACTGCTGTTTACGCAGGTCCCAAATTCTCTGGCTGCGCTGCGCCGCCACCGTCAAGCCCCTTTCTTTACCACGTAATTTTGACGCCGGTCCCAACGCTATGAGAGGCTGTAAGTCTTGGGGGCAGCGATTCGGGTCTTGGGTCTTGGGGTCTGAGGAATCCCAAAAGTTCCTGTTGTTTACTTTCATCCGCATCCGACTTGGCGAATGGCTCAACCGTTGTTTGGACGGTAAACGAGTGGCGAAGCTCTTCCTCCCGCGGAGCGCAAGAAAGGCCGCGTCGGGCTGCAGCGGCGGCTCGGTGAGTGGCCGCATCCGAACCATTCAAACGTCAGAATGCAAGGCGCCACTCGCACACTCGCGTAGCACCAATGTGACCAAAGATACTCGGCTATCTCGCCTGGGACGCCGAGTTTGGTAGGAGGGTATGTAGTCAGCATCAGTAGTTCAGTATGTGTAGCACATAAATGGCGCGTTTTGTCCAACGTATGAAAGTTTTGTCTCAAGAGCAGCCTGGGTTCCGAAGTCTCGTGCCCGCCTAGCACCCAGTCATTGCAGCTGAACGGGCCGGTGTTCGGTGGCGCTCGGTGGCATTTCTACCCCTTTTGGATTCCATGAGACATACCTTGTAGACGTCTGACAGAGCCTAGGCAGTGCCAATCCCCTGCCGAGATGTTGAATCCAATAGGAAGCTCAGATTAGCGACTTGGTATTGAAGAATTTAAGCCTTCGGCCCCTGCAACGCCCCGGATAAAGGTAACACTGCGAGCTAAGGCAGCTAGGGCAGTGTAGGGGTACCACTGCAGCTTATGGAATCTCCACCCATGATCTGCGTCGTATTTAAACTCTACTTTTGGTGGAGTGGACACTTCGTAATGTCAACGTGTTGTATTACACCAGTAAACCGGTGCGCCACGTGTGTACTTACCACTGCTGCACCCGTAATATATGCAGGGAGTCGGCGCGGGGCGGGCCAACCATCTCGCCGTCAGTGCTCGAATGTCTCGTTATCGGAGCTTGGACCGGGCGCGTCCACCGTGTTGTTCTTCTGACTCCTGAGATTTGGGCTGAGAGCCCGAAGAGTCGGAATATATGGCGTCTCATGAAGGCTTCGAATCCTTCGAATCCTGGTGGAGCATTAATGACAAAGCATGCAGGACAGTTCTTGGATAGGATGATTCGGATCCAGTGACTTGAGAGTCCACCGAGCAAGTAGCACAAACCCAAAAAGGAGGCTAGTTGGGACGGCCCGGGCGGCCACCCGCCCCCGCTACCTAGGTCGTCTCTGCCGATATCCCGTCCTGCCGAAAGCTAAGCTCTCAGGAATCGGTTAGGTCAGATTAGGTACGACGCCACCATTGCTATTGGACGCAAGGACTCGGATCTTGGTGCACTCGAGCTGAAGTCTGCCGAGAAAAGGTTATCTCAGACAAGTCTTTTTCCCCATCTTCACCTGCTAGGCTGCAGATGCCAAGCATGTCATGGAAACGTCGGTGTGGTCCATTCGGGGGGTACTTCCGAAATCACCGGACCGAGGCTCCTAGGTGAAGACCCTGCAAGTGCAGCCGTCGCGTATGTGGACGGGGATTCCGAGACATGCTGCATGCTGCAATGCATAGGTCTGCATCGAAGACCACTTTCTTGCTCTCAGCCCCCAAGCCCTCACCCCCCCTCCACCCCCCCTCTCCCCCCACTTCTACTACGCCGCAAAAACCTAATCCTGAATCACCCGGTTGGATTGCGATAATCGGGGACACGCTGGCCCGCAAAACTGTTAGGCTAACAGCGTAGTAGATCACTCTCTACCTTACCCACGTTTTCCCGGGGGTTTCCACCAGGCAGAGTCCGACATGAAGGGTCTTTACACATGTGAGCACAGGTGACAGAGGTAACATGAAAAGCAAGCGAAGATGGACCCCGCAAGAAGACGAACTACTTCGACAGGAATCACAAAAGCAGCTCACCAGTAGGTCACTCCCTTGCCCCCTCCCCTCCCCCCCTCTCAACCTTATTTCCGCCTTCCCGCGCTCTATTCCCTTTTCCTACACCCAATCTCGATCTTGGATCTGGTGGCTTGAGGCTCAACTCAACGTTTGTTCCCCACACGGCACAGGTCCCACCGGCAGAGGCAACACCATCAACTGGAGCGAAGTTGCAAAACACCTGCCTGGCCGCAGCAACAAGGATTGCCGGAAACGATATCTCAACGAGATGGCGGGCACCTTGAAGAAGGTAAGTGGTGCTTGCACCTCGCTTTATTCCCGCCTAATTAGCCCGTTTCGGGTCTCTGCAAGACCGACACTGATTCGACATGTTAACTCCGACAGGGGCCTTGGTCACAAGATGAAGATGCCCGGCTCGAGAGGCTCGTTGAAGAACACGGGCTCTCCTGGGTAACTGTGTCCCAGGCGATGGGGACCCGAAGTGCCGACCGTAAGTCCCGGACTTGTGACGATTTGCTCGCCGATATGAGAGGGATTGCGCTAACCAATTCAAGAATGCTCAAAGCGATGGAATCACTCATTGAATCCAGAGTTAAACCACCAGCCATGGCAAGATCATGAGGTACGTACAACTCCCAAAGTTGACCAAAACGACTGGATGGCTGATACTTGGTGCTTCAGAATGGAAAGTTGCTGCGAGCACTAGCAACGCATGGCAGCAGCTGGAAGGAAATACAAGAGAAGCATTTCCCGACCCGGTCTGCAAACAACGTAAAGAATCAGTGAGTCAATGATACCTTGCCATTCACATGGAAAGGGGTTCATTTAGCAGAATGCGACGCTGGCTTACACATGAACAGGTATACCATCTTGATGCGTCGCGGAACCACGCTGTCAGAAGATGTTCCTCCGTGTTGTCCAGGTCGCAGCAAAAAGACAGGTGCTTCTTCTTCTCGAGCCTTGTCTCCAGACACCATACCGCCGCCAGATGCGCCGTCATCGAAACCACCAAGTCCCCGGTTGATTCAGCCACAATCGGACAAGGCATCAGCATGGGACAGCATGAGCGACAACAGCTATCATGCGTCGAGAAACAGCGTCATGGAGGTAGACGCCATTTGTCCGACTTTCTCGGAGGAGCGCGACCACATCTACCCCTTTTTATCACCAATGCCCTCTGTCAATGAAGGGTTTAACACCGACTTCAACAACCTCTTTAGCTTCCAGAATTTTAGCGACCAAAGCACTGTCCAGAGCAGCGACTGCCCGGACATGTGCACACCGGTCTCGGCCGCGTGCTCCGGCTCAGGGGTTGGCGTGATGGGTGACAACGACTCGGTCGGGAGATGCTGTGCGAGCAATGACGTTTCTGCCGGCAGCACTTTATCGTGGCCACTGGATCATCTCCCGGTGTCCGAAATGGATATGGATATGGGTGGGACAGGAATGGGGAAAGCTGGAAACGGCGCTGTGCTGTCGGCGGCGACACGGCCATTGACTGCTGTGGATAGCTCATGCTCAAAAGCCAGCATGCAAGCTGCAACACGACTGTCGGCGTCTGGAAGTGGCGATGCGAGTCCGAGGTCACGCATGACCATTGTGGTGGACGAGGCCAAGCCCGAGACGCTGGTAGAGGTGATGAAGGTGCTCATGGAGTCTCAGGCGCGGGTGGAGTTCTGGCGTCAGTGACGACGAGGGAGGAAAACTGTTAAATACCACCCACATGTACTCAGCACTGAGCTGGGAGAAAAGTCATAGAATTTCCCGCTTCAGGAATTTAGATTAACTGCAGTGGCTGGCGACTTCTTGTGCAGCAGCCCTCCCAGCCGCTCCAACCACCGCTCCATTTGGAGCAAGATGGGAAAGACAAAGGGAACCGAGGATGCCGTACTCGCATGGTCCCTGGCATAAGGTCTGCTTTCCTTCGGCGTTTTAATATTGGCATACTCACGAGCAATACCGCGGGCCAGACCCGCCCAACAGTCCGAGGTCCTGGTGCGTTTCAGACAGTGCCCGACGATACCTGGACATCTCCCAAGGGGTTTATTAGCACGTCCAAGCCCACGTGTGCAGTTGGAGCACTAATACGCCTAACTGCTACATATTTCCAACCTGTACATTCATTTGAACTGAGAGATATGTTGTGCCTCTTGCACTTTGACAGTGCCGTCAGGGGCGTACCCTCAACGCTGGTCGCACAAAAAACACACCGTTACACACAGAATCCATTTTCTTTGCAACGCCAGGAATAATTCAAATGCAAAGCCATGAGATCAAGTTCCGTGTTCGATGCTGTCACTTCTGTGAGACCGTTGTGTAACCGCCTTCACTCCGAAGTCCAAAAGTGGTATTCAACACGTCGAGGCTCGGCGTCAGTGTCGGCTCGGATTTAGGTAGGATTAGGTGCCTGCGCAGTATGTGGGAACCATGCAGCGCAAATTGCAGGCAGCATACGGATCCGTACTCTGGTCCCAGTGCACTCACTGTGCAACGTCGAAACGGCCCTTTGATCCCGCATTCAGTCAATCATTGCACGTAAAGCACTTCGTACTGTGGTACACGCACCCTTCGCTGACAAATGTCTTGACAAATCCAAAATCTGAGACACCCGACAGACGACTGTTTCCGGCTGTCTCTATGCACTATGTAAGGGCAACCCCTCATCGAGGACAACCAGAGTAAAAAGGCATCACTTACACCCCGCCTCACAACCACATCAACATCAGCATCAACATCAACAACAGCAACAACCACCACTGCAACAACAACCCCCCAAAAAGCACCTACACATCAAACCACCCCCCACCATCAACATGCCCAACGTCCTCATCCTCGGCGGCGCCGGCTACCTCGGCCTTGCCGTCGGCCAAGCGCTCCTCCGCACGGGCAACTACGCCGTCTGGGCGACCACCCGCAGCGCGGACAAAGCCAAGACCCTCATCACCAACGAAATCACGCCCCTCGTCGGCGAAGCCACCGACGCGACCTGGCTCGCCTCCATCATTTCCACCCACCACATCGACACGGTCATCGACACCACCCAAGCCTACGAGCAAGCGGGCGCCATCCTGTCGGGCATCACCAGCGCGGCCAAAACCCGCGCCGCCGCCCTCGCCGCCGACAAATCCATCGGCCCCAAGCTTGGCTTCATCTACACGTCCGGCTCCTGGGTGCACGGCTCGCCCGCCCGTCGCGTCAGCGACCGCACCGTGCCGGGGGTGTCCTCCTCGCCCGACAAGCCGGCTACCGCGGTGGGCTGGCGCCCCGCGCATGAGCAGGCCATCCTGGCGGCGCGCGACGTGCTGGACGTGGCGATCCTGCGGCCGTGCGCGATCTATGGGCGTGGCTCGTGGGTTTGGGGCGTGTGGTGGGGCCCGTTGCTGGCCGCGGCTAAGGCGGGCGGCGAGGAGCCCGTGCAGTTGCCGGTGGGGGAAGAGGCGCGCACGGGGACGGTGCATGTGGATGATTTGGCGGAGGCGTTTGTGGGCGCGGCGGATCGGTTGGAGGGTGGGCTGGGCTCGTGGCCGGTGTTTGACGTGGGGGCGGAGACGCTGCCGGTGGGGGATATCATGCAGGCGGCGGCCAGGGAGTTGGGGGTGAAGGCGCCGTTGGTGTACGGGGGCACGCATGGGAATGCGTTCTTGGAGGCGTTGGGGCTGGTTAGTAACTCGGATACGGCGCGGGCGAGGTCGGTGCTGGGGTGGGCACCGAAGCATCGCGACTTTATTCAGAACTTGCCGGTTATTGTCGCGGCGTGGCGCGCGGCGCAGCCTGAGTAAATGGGGAAGATGGAGAGGACCGACACGGGATGGAAGTAGGTCCATCATTGTCTGATAGTTTGGGAAATATAACTAGCAAATGGCACTGAGTAAGGTACCTGGTTCTGTGATTTAAGCAGCAGCTTTGAGGTCAACATGAGGTTGGGAAACATCCCGGGAAATGACTCATGTGGCAATGTGAGATGCTTAGTGACATGTACCGGGTTAGTAATGGGTCTTCTGGCTGTGCATTACTCACCGGCTTCTTGATCCCCTGTATGTACATACCTTGGAAACACTACCTCAATAGGTAGGTAGTGTAGAATCCATTTAACGGTCAACCCCTAAGACCTTCACTGTTGTTTAGTACCTATATGGAATGGGCTGGATGCTACATGTATCTGGCCGGACTACGTCTGCAATGATCGTAGCACGTGAGGCAAGGTATAAATAATCAAACACAGAAAAATAACCTTGTTTAATTCCATGTAGGCATTACTTCTTTCCAGCCGCCTGCGCTCCCCTCTTCTTCAGTCCCACCTTAAGGCCATGCTGCATAACAAACCACCGGTTCTCAACCTTCCAGCCATCCGCATCGACCAGCTCGAACTATTGCCGGACCTCACGTCAGCTCTTGGCTCTGGCGCCATGGGGCAGTGACACTTACATCAAAATGGAGCAACAATGTGGGAACCACCTTGTAAATCTCCAAGTAGGCGATATGCTTGCCCATACAAGTCCGGTGACCGGCGCCGAACTATCAAAACATTGTTAGCAAAAGAGACCAAGTATGCCACAAACCCCCCTTGCAGAACTGGATAGGGGACAAAAAGGAAAGTGAAAACGCACCGCCAAAACCGCATTCTCCATCCTCCTCCTCTGCTCCTCACCCACCTCCAACCACCTCTCCGGCCGCCACTCATCCGCATCCTCCCCAAACAACCCCGGATCCCTCCCCACCACAAACGCGCTCATCCCCACCACGGTCCCCCCCGGCAAGAACTTGCCGCACACCACCGCCCCCTCCTTCGGCACCACCCTCTCATACGGCAAGCCAAACGGCGGGTGCAGCCGCCCGGCCTCCTTGACGCACGCGTCGAGGTAGGGCAGCTCGCGCGCGCGCCGCCACGAGACGAGGCGCCCGGGCGCGTGGCCGGCGGCCGCGGCGGCGTCGACTTCGGCGCGGAGCTTGGTGAAAGTGGCGGGGTGGGTTAGGAGGTAGTGGAACATGGCGCGCAGGTAGATGCCGGTCGTGTCGGAGCCCGCGGTAATGTTGGAGGAGGCCCAGGCGGCGAGGGCGCTGGGGGGGGGGGGAGGGGGTGTGAGTTTGATGATACTGGTTGTGGGAGGGTGTTTGGGGTTGTTTTGGGGTTGGTGATGTTGTTAAGGGGAGGGAAACTTACTACGGCGGCAACTTCTCGTCCTTGGCCTCAATCTCGAGAAACCTCGAGAGGAAATCGCGCGTGTCCCGGTCCCAATCGTTGGTGCCCTCGGTCTGCATCAGCTTCCGCCTCTCCTGCACGCGCGCCATGGCAAAGGCGGCGCCCGGGCTCACGCCCTTGCCGCGCATGTGGCGCCGGATCGGGTTGTTGGTCCAGTATTTGTCCAGCCACGGCATCTGCGTGACCAGCGAGGTCTCCTTGAACATCTCCCAGATGGACGCCATGACGTTGTTGACGTCGGTGCCGGACTCGAGGAAGCCGAGCCGCTTGGAGAAGGTCAGCTCGCCGATGACGTCGAAGGCGAACATCTGCAGCCACGAGCCCAGGTCGCACGGCTTCTGCGGGTCGACGAACCGCGCCTGCAGCTGCTCGCAGAAGACGACCATGGTCGTGTCGACGTACGGCTCGAACGACACCAGCGTGCTCATGGCGTAGGCCCCGGACACGGGCTTCTTGAGCAGCCGGTGGATCTCCTCATCCTGCGCCGCGAAGATGCCCGGGATGGCTTTGCCGTTGGGCTTCATCAGGAGCGCCTTGTAGAAATCGGCCTTCAGCCACGGCTTGGAGAAGCGGTAGATGTTCCCGACCTCCTCAGGAGCGCCGACCGACACCATGTTCGGCCCGAACCGCACAATGGGGCCATATTGTCGGTGCTGAGCAATGTGGTGGTCGTGAGCTTTGTTGCTTAGCACCCAGAGGAACCGCGGGAGGTTTGTGAAACGGGCGAGTGCGGGGCCTGGGATGTGCGATAGTCGCCAGTACGAACGCAACAACACGACAAGCTGCAACGCAGCCACTACACCCACAGCTGCGATGAAGAGCGCCAGAGCGGGCCGACTTTCAGCGTAGTGCCCCACAATAGGGATGTCAGTGAGGCCGAGCAGTTCCTTCATTTTGGTTGTCGTCATTGCTCAAGTTGGAGGAGTGAAGCTGACTGGAATGTAAAGCCGACGCATGCATGTCGTGCCGACAATTGGATATTATGGATTGTGGCTACAATTTCAGCATACTTCGGTCCTTCTTTCAACCGATTATGACATGATATACGAATATACGGACATCTTCGCTGACGTGAAGAAGAACCACGGTATGTACCACCCAACCTGCCATGTCAGGGGTCCGGGTATGTTTACAAAGGAGTTTACGACTGTCACACGAGGAAGACCCAAAGGGAGCATACTCCGGTCTCTTGGCCTGCAGATGTCCACAGGCAAAGAATAGACGAGAGAACATGTGTCTTCCACCAAGACGAGATGGGGTGCAGGGGCTCGAACCTGATCTCGCATTCGGCCAGGATACGATGCAGCTACGAGCGAAGATAAAAAACGAAGAAAATATTAGGTAATCTGGCCGGATCAGCCTGCATCGCTTGTGCCTTTCAGGTGCATCTCGGCCTTGCTCCTCACCATAAGCGACAAAAATGCGGCGCATCTCCACGTCCAGGTACCATCCAAGGCCAGATGCAGCCGCAGAGCAACCCCCCGCCACCGATGCCGGCTGGCTAAAAAAGATATGAAAAAATCCAGCTCCCAAGCGAGAAGATGATGTTCGGTAGCGAGAACTGAACAGCGGGGTATGGACGGGTACGGACGGGAGGGCTGCCGTTCCGTTGTAAGACGGTATGTACTGTGTATGTACCATACTCTGGGCCGCGGATATAACCGCTCGGTTTCCGAGCCCCTGTGTTACCCATGTCGGTTACTTTAGGTACGTACCTGGGACCGGAGCATGCCACTCGGGACTTCCTGTCTCAGCCCAAACCATTCAACAGCATCCAATTGTTTGCGGGTCGGTGAGTCCAGTCCCAAGTATGCTCTCTGTGCTGCCCATTTCACCTTCCACAGCTTGGAGGAGGTTCAGGAAATTCCCTTGCAACTTGAAAACTTAGAACTTAAACCAGGAATTCCGAATTCGATACCTTACCCTTTTTAGCGTCACATTTACGATGCATTTGCCGCAATAGTCCATCCTCCGTGTAAACAATCGACGGTCAAGAATAAGATGGAGGATCCAAAGGAAAAGGCGGCTCCGTCGTCCTCATCGGCAGAAACCCTGCCCGCGCAGCCTCGGCCTCCCACCAGCGCGCCCACCAGCCCATCCGGCCCATCCCCCCCTCCCGATGGCGGCTTCAAGGCGTGGTCGGCGGTCCTGGGGGCCTGGTGCTGTCTGTTCGTCAGCTTCGGCTGGGTCAACTGCATCGGCATTTTCGAGGCGCACTACCAGCACAACCAGCTGAGCGAGTACCCGCCGGGCATCGTGGCCTGGATCACCTCCACCGAGGTGGCCGTCATGTACATTAGCATGCCCGTGCTGGGAAAGCTCTACGACAGTTTCGGGCCCAAGCCCCTCCTGTACGCCGGCACCTTCGCCCATGTCTTTGGCCTCATGATGGCCTCGCTCGCAACCGAGTACTACCAGATCATGCTCTCGCAGTCGATCTGCAGCGCTGTTGGTGCGGCTGCCGTTTTCTCGGCCGCTACGGGCTCCGTCGGCTCGTGGTTCTCGAAGCGGCGCGCCCTGGCCCTTGGCATCGTTGCCTCTGGATCGTCAGTCAGTGCTTGTATCCTACCGTAAGTTCCCTCAGGGACACCATCCCATATCTTCGTACTTGCACAGCTGCTAATTTGAGATTCTCATAGAATACTTGTCATCCGCGTTGGTGCTCTCATCGGCTTCGCATGGGCGTTGCGTATCTGCGCCTTCATGTTTCTGTTCCTCCTCATCATTGCTTGCTTCACGCTGGAGTCCCGAAATCCACCCAAGCCAACCCCGTGGGAGCTGATGGCGTTTTTCCGACCCCTCGGCGAGACGCCATTTCTCCTCAACGCGCTAGGCCTTGCCTTCTTTTCCGGCGGCATGTTCGTTGCCTTCAATTTCCTGGTGCTGGAGGCGCAGCATCGGGGCATGGGATCCGAGCTGGCCAACTACCAGATCGCCATCCTGAACGGCGTCAGTGTCTTTGGCCGCATCATCCCGGGCTGGCTGGGCGACAAGGTCGGCCGGTTCAACGTCATGGTCGTCACAACGGCCCTGTCGGCGGTGGCGGTACTCGCCATATGGATCCCGGCGCCCATCGGCAGTACGGCAACAACCGTGGTCTTTGCGTGCATTTTTGGCTTCACCTCGGGCACCTTCGTTGGCATGACGCCGGCGCTGGTGCAGCAAATGTCACGGATTGAGGAGATGGGTATTCGGCTCGGCACCACCTTTGGTATCATCAGTATCGCGGCCTTGACGAGCAACCCGATTGCGGGCGGCCTGATCAGCCGGAACGACGGCGGTTATTTGTATCTCAAGATCTTTTCTGGGTTGGCATTGACGGTAGGCTCTGTGCTGATACTCCTCAGCCGGAACGCGCAGTGCGGATGGAAATGGAAGCGATTCTGATAAAGTATAGCGCCAGGACATTGATAGATAATAGAGTATGTATTACCATTACTGCAGACCCATGATTCTTGATTCTCTCGAGCGTCACATGCCTTGGTTACATTAAAGGCAACGGCACGGATACCGTACCCGCTGCCGTCCCTTTCTGTCGTTTCAACGTGTGGTAGGTAATTATAAGTATTGCCACGTGAGAATATCCTTCCGTAACGCTCTTTGATTATGACCTTCTGGGAGTATTCGACGAATCAAGCAAGCCGACTAGTTGGCCTGCTCATAGTGAGATCTCGGGTCTGGCAGCTTCTCAGCCGAGCGTAGTTGGGACCGGAGTAAGAAAGCCCGAACGTGGCCAACCCCTTTGTAATCTGTCCTCGGTACGAGGGTTTACGTGAAACTATGCCCCCTGCTTACATGCGCATGTCAGAAGAACCAGCGAGTGAAACCTTTCCGCGCCCAGCCCTTTACAACTAGCCCGGGCATCTTAGAGACGCCTCTGTGACGTAGAAGCAGCCCTCGCGCCACCACCCAACTCCTCTCTAGCCCACGCATTTCGTAACACGAGGCAAACATGCCGTCGGCACTCAATAACCTGAATGGTCTGGGGGACCACCACCAGTTCTTCAAGGCCGCCGATATCAGCCTCCGATCTGAGGTTCTAAGCTCCAACGATCAAGGTGTCAGATCAATCCCAGAGTTGATCGATTACAATGCCCGTATCAACCCGGAAGCCTTATTCTGCTACCAAGCGCTCAAGTCTGCAGATGCATCAGGAGACACGGATGGGCCGCCGCCGATGGCGGTAGTAAACATGGTTCAGCTTCGAGATGCAGTCTGGCGCTGTTCCCAAAGATTACTCAAGGAGCTGGGGATTGGTCACGAAAACAAAACACCGACTGGCAAACCTGCCCCCGTTGCTCTCTTTATGGATAGCGATCTCAGTCTTCTGATTCACCTCTTTGCCCTGATGGCTCTAGGGACACCGGTAAGATCATAAAAATAATACGTCTAGCAAGACAAATTCTGAGATTAACTTGGCGCGGGAGTAGGTCGCCTTGTTGTCAGCACGATTGAGCACGGTGGCGGTTCAGCACTTAGCAGACACCATTCAAGCACAAGCTATCATTGTGTCCCCTCGGACGGCCGGCGTGCTGAAGCCTTTAGAGACGGGGATCGAAACTTCTACCGGCAGCTCTCTCCCAAAGCTGCATGTGGCAAAGTCATTCCAGGATGATTTGAGGGCAGCAGAAGAAACCCCTGAGAACGGCCAAAGGGGTAAGGTGACCATCTGCGCCCCGGACCACTATGTTGGCGAGCAAGACCGAAATGTCTTGATTCTGCACTCTTCAGGGACCACGGGGCTCCCGAAGGCCATCTTTCAGTCGCACAAGTACTTGCTTGGGTACGCCAGCTGCCATATCCGAACTGATGAAGAGGATATCGGCGCCTTGAACATGTCGACCCTTCCGTTATACCACGTAAGAACCCCCCCCCCCCCCCCCACCGACAGTCGTTTGTTGCAAACAACCATATTAACCCGAGAAACAGGGTTTTGGTCTGGTCGTTCCCTGCCTCACCTTAGGCATCGGAAAGCCCTTCCTGCTACCACCACCACACACTGTCCCCACCGGACTGTCCACAGCCAACGCTCTCCGGCAGTTCGGCTGCAAGTCTCTGATGACGGTGCCGCACATCCTAGACGAGATGGTTGCCCTCCCCCCAGGGGAAGGCGTGGACGCGCTCCTCCCTTTACAATTTGTTGCTTGCGGCGGCGGCCCGCTCAAGCTGACAACCGGCGAAAAGCTAGCCGCCGCTGGTGTCAGGTTGCTGGCTCACTTTGGGACCACCGAGATCGGGCCGCTGGCTCCCATATTCGTCCCTTCAGAGGACTATGACTGGCGCTATTGGAGACTCCGGGACGACTACCGAATCACCGTCGAACCCGTCGAACAGCAGCCGGAGCAGCAACAGAATGGCACGGCTCCTTCCGCTCCTAGCAGTGGCCAACACTACCAGTTGACGGCGCGGCCCTTCGGCTGGGACACCCCCTTCGTGTTGCAAGATTGGCTGGTCACGAGCGATCGAAACCCCGGGCGAGACTTTCGAGCGATGGGACGAAAGGACGATCTGATCGTGCTCATCACGGGGGAGAAGGTCCCGCCGCAGATTCTCGAATCAGCGCTCTGCCAGCGCGAGTTGGTCAAGGGAGCGGTGGCGTTCGGCGACGGGCAGTTCGAGCTCGGCGTGATTGTGGAGCGGGCCGATACCCCTGACACGGCCGACGTGGATACGTTCAAGGCCCTGCTCTGGCCTATTGTGGTTGAGGCAGGGCGGCAGATGGACAGCCATGCAAGGATATCGTCCTTGGCTAGTATAGTCGTGACCGGGCCTGAGAAGCCGCTCCCCCGCTCCGATAAGGGGTCTGTGTTGAGAAAGGAGGCGTATCGAATCTTTGAGGAGGAGATCAAAAAGGCTTATCAAGACCTGGAGCTCACGGATAACGATGGCGATTTGTCTCTTGACCCTGGCGCCCTGGAGGATAGCTTGAAGAAGCTCGTGCAAGCGCAGATGCAAGATGCTGTGCCGGAAGGAGTCTGGGGTTCCGAGGACGACCTATTCGAGTTGGGTGTAAACTCGCTACAAGCAGCACGCATATCCAGGGCCATCAAGAGAGCTTTGAGAAAGGAGGGCATGTCGAACCTTGTCCCCGCGGATAAGGTTGGGGCGGATTTTGTTTACAAGAATCCCACCATCTCACAAATGGCCGACGCGTTGAGGCTTACGAGTAGCCGCCGAGAACCGTCAGAAGAAGCCATGATCGACAGCTATGTCTCGCGATACAGCGGACTTGTGTCCAAACACCGACATGTCGTCTTGCTGACCGGGAGCAGCGGCACTCTCGGTTCATACGCCTTGCAGCACTTGGTCGCCCTGCCACACATCTCCGAGGTCATTTGCCTCGTTCGAAAGGGGAGACATGCAGCTGAAACCAACGGCGACACTGATTGCGTGGCCGCGCAGATTCAGAACGCAAATTCCAAGGGCACCAACATCCCAACTGAGTATGCCTCAAAGGTTACGGTTATTCAGGCGGACCCGTTCCAAAACCACCTGGGTCTCGCAGAGGATGAGTACAGTCGCCTGAGTGAAAAAGTCGACCACATCTTCCACTGCGCCTGGCCAGTAGACTTCCAACGGTCCATCTCATCCTTCGAGAACCAGTTCCGCTTCCTACAAAACCTGGTACAGCTCTCCGCCGACGCCAACGAGCTCCAGGGCAAGAAAACTCGACTGCTCTTTGTGTCTTCGATCGCCGTGGTTGGCCAGTACCACCGTAGCCACGGCTCGCGGATCGTCCCGGAGGAAGTCATGAAGGACGCGAGGAGTACCAACGACTTTGGGTACGGCAAGGCAAAGCTAGTCTGCGAGAGGATCCTGGCCAATGTCGCCGAGAAGTTGCGCGGTAAGGTGGAGGTGGCCAGCGTTCGGTTGGGACAAATATCAGGTGCGAGAACGAGCGGCATCTGGAACTCCAAAGAGCATTTCCCTGCGCTGGTGAGGTTGTCACAAACCATCAAGGTCTTTCCAAAACTGCAAGGGGTAAGAGCTTTCCACTTGTTGTAAGGAAAACGAAACATGTGACTAACTTGTCCAGACACTCTCCTGGCTGCCTGTGGATGTGGCAGCCGCGGCAATATCTGACATCCTTCTCTCACCGCAGCCACTTGATCTTATCTACCATGTCGAGAACCCCCTCCGGCAAGACTGGTATACCGTCATGTCGGCCATCGCAGAGGGTTTAGGCTTTCCTCCGTCCTCGGCCCTTGTTAGCTTCGACGAATGGGTAGCAAAGGCCGAAGGGAGTGCCTTGGTGCGGGCATCTGGTGATACTTCGGTGGCCATGTTGATGAATTTCTTCAAGCACGACTTTGAGCGCATGGCGAGCGGCGGCGTCGTTTTGGACACGTCCAGGGCACGTCAGGCGTCACGCGCCCTACGGAACGTTGAGATTGTGGAGAGGGAGGAAATTCTGAACTACGTCCGGAACTGGAGGCGGTCTGGATTTCTGGATGAGAAGAAAGTTTGATCTCGTTTTGCTACCATGGAAGCCTTCAACTTGTTTCTTGACAAGAGAAGGGGGTTTGGAACGGGATGCCATTGTTATGATAGAATGAATCAAAACAAACCCAATCACACAATGAACTAAGGCGTTTTGGGTGCATGACATGGCAACGCCGATTCGGCCAAGGCTACGAGACCGGGCTAGGCACAATTCTGGTGTCGTTTGTGGTTAGGAAAACGCCACAACGGCTGACTTCTTTCCCACGCGTCTGCGAATCTTGCTCGGGCTCTCCGTCTTTTCAGCTTCATTCTGTCATTCTCTGTTTTCGCATACGTCCTCCCAGCATATATAGAGCTAGTCCGTTCCTCTTACGAGTTACACACCACACGCCTGCAGCACAATCCTCTACAGATCTATCAGAAATTACCTAGAATGAGATTATCTCCCAAGACAGCCTTGCCGGACCCTGCCACTCCATCTCTGACCTTCAAGCTGTCTCAAATCTGCGGGTTCTGGCCAGATTATGCTACTTCGAGTAAATATCCCCAAGCCCGTCGCCTTTGATCTAAGCCCAACCTTATTGCTCTTACTGATCTTGTCGCAGCGGCAGCGTGGACATACTGGTGCCCCAATGATGTCGCCTGTGCCATCAACGTGCAAATCACACCTCACATCGTCTTCTGCCCAGATCCTGCATATACCCTGGTCACAACTTGGTACGACTATGGAAAGTGGCCTTCAACGGGTTGTGGCTCGCGCCAAATATGTTGGTACGTACCACGATAAAGATGCCATGTCTTCGGTCTCAAGCTGAACGTCATCGCAGCCCCAGCGGAGAGAAAGCGATGATCAAGAATTATGACAACGGAGCGAGTATCTTCGGACAATGTATCGCATCTTCGAATCCCTTCACTGGACCATTGAGCGCAACAACGGAGACTTCGGGGACTTCTATTCATCTCTCCGTCTGGGGTGCAACAACGACGAGCCTGTCCTCGCAAACAGTTGCCACCACCACTGACCCAGGTACGGTCCCGCGCTTGCTTCCCTTGAGGTTGATTTCCGGGTGGTGGCTACGATCACCGATATGGCTACTAATCTACAAGCAGTTGGGGAGCCGTCACAGACGCCACAACCGCCGCAGACAATAATAACGACGGCACCCGCCGCACAGGACGGACTGAGCATTGGAGCAGAAGTCATCTAACTGTTGAAGGTTTAAATCAAATTATTAACATTAAAGCATCAATGAATTTAGGTTTATCTGATACATTGAAATCAGAGTTTGCTGGATATGTTCCAGTTATGAGACCTCTAGTTAATGACCCTGAGAATCTGGAATTAGACCCTCATTGAATTTCAGGGTTTGTTAGTGCTGAAGGAAACTTTGATATTCGTATGCCATCTACTAATAGTAAATTGGGTCGTAGAGTTCAGTTAAGATTCAGAATCTCTCAACATAGTAGAGATATCAAATTAATGGAAAAATTAGTTAAATATTTTGGAATCCGGAAATGTTTATAAATATGGAGGTAAATTTGCTGTAAGTATCAGCAATA